TCTGGTAAATCTTTACTTTCCAGCAATTTTGTTTTTTATGTCAGCCATTTTAAAAATGTATAAATCTACCCATCATCCATTTGAGAAGAAAGTCCAGAAAATTTGCTTAAAATTCCAACTAATAAGAGGAATCTTATGTCAGTGTGGTTCCATGGGTGATTCTTGGGCTGATAGTACATATAATATGTTGAGGACCAAACAGCAAGTCCACAACCAAAATAGCTTCACTCACATAGAGGGACAAAGCCAGCAGAAATATACTACAAAATCAGCAGAAATATAAAATGTTTTTCCGGGAAGAAATTCTTTTAATGGAACCAACTGAGAGCCAGTTTGGTCTAGAGGTTAAGACACCAGGCTAGAAAGCAAGAGACAATGAGTTCCAGTCCTGCCTTAGCCATGAAAGCCAACTGGGTGACCTTGGGCCAATCATTCTCTCTCGGTCCAACTCACTTCACGGGATTGTTGTTGTGGGGAAAATAGGAGGGGGAAGGTGTGTTGGATGTGTTCATCACCTTGAGTTATTTGTAACAATAATAAAGGTGGGATATAATTAAATAAAAATAAAATCCCCAAAACTAATAACGATAACTGAGGTGTCCGGAGACTGTCTGATTGTTGAAGAGTGAATCAAAAGAAATGGAGAAAGTGAATGAAATGGGATATCCTAGAGAAATATCAGGGGGGGATTGGCCAGAACATGGCAAATAATCTTTCATAATTACAGTATTTTGTTTCACTTTTCAATTTAAGAAGTGTCTTTATTAAAGAACTGGAATCTGAAACAAAATAGATATAAGTGTATGTAATAGTTTGCCTTCCATTATTTTCTATTCCTATGGGCAAACCCTTTATTGTATCAAACCTTGCTGAAATATTTTACAATGTATTTGTAGGAATGGGTGAATATTTTGAGAATTTTGTATTTTCACAGATATTAATCATTGGGTTTCTGATGGGTAATTTTGGAGTTATAGCTTTTATTGTTTCAACAGTGCTAAAAAGCCATCAGAATGGATGAATGGATGATGGATGGATAAATAGAAAGATAGTAAATCAGAAGAGAAATAAACAGTTGCCATCAGCAATATAGTAGCAATTTTGTCATTGGCATTGGTGAAAGAAATGGCATAGAAATCTCCAACATTTTATAGTTGTATAAATTATTATTATTTTCCTGCCCAAAGTCTAAGTGAGGAAAAAGCCTGTAATTGTGGGCTGATTTATAGCAGAGAAATGTTGATGAATGCAGTATATAAATTTATGTAAGCATGCAGTTATCAGAATAACAGAGTTGGAAGGGACCTTGGAGGTCTTCTAGTCCAACCTCCTGCTCAGGCAAGAAACCCTATACCATTTCAGACAAATGGCTGTCCAGTCTCTTCTTAAAAATTTCCAGTGTTGGAGCATTCACAACTTCTGGAGGCAGGTTGTTCCACCGATTAATTGTTCTAACTGTCAGGAAATTTCTCTTTAGTTCTAGGTTGCCTCTCTCCTTGACTAGTTTCCATTCATTGCTTCTTGTCCTGCCTTTAGGTGCTTTGGAAAATAGCTTGACTCCCTCTTCCTTGTGGCAACCCCTGAGATATTGGAACACTGCTATCATGTCACTCCTAGTCCTTCTCTTCATTAAACTAGACATATCCAATTCCAGCAACCGTTCTTTATATGTTTTAGTCTCCGGTTCCCTAATCATATTTGTTGTTCTTCTCTGTACTCTTTCTAGAGTCTCAACATCTTTTTTACATCGCAGTGACCAAAACTGGATGCAGTATTCCAAGTGTGGCCTTACCAAGGTGTTATAAAATGGTATTAGCACTTCACCTGATGTTGATTCTAACCCTCTGTTAATGCAGCCTAACACTGTGTTGGCTTTTTTGGCAGCTGCAGCACACTGCTGGCTCATATTTAAGTGATTGTCCACTAGGACTCCGAGATCCCTCTCACCGTTACTATGATTGAGCCAGTTACCACCTATATTATACCTGTGCATTTGTTTTTTCTTGCCTAAATGTAAAACCTTACTTTATTCACCATTGAATTTCATTTTGTTAGATAGCGCCCAATGTTCAATTCTGTCAAGATCCTTCTGTATATTAAGCCTGTCTTCTGGAGTGTTGGCTATTTCTGCCAGCTTGGTGTCGTCTGCAAATTTGATAAGTTCCCCATCTATCCCCTCATCCAAATCATTGATTAAGATGTTAAAGAGCACTGGGCCCAGAACAGAGCCCTGGGGCACACCACTACACATTTCCCTCCATGTAGATGCAGTTCCATTGAGGACCACACGCTGAGTATAGCCGGTCAGCCAGTTATGAATCCTGGTGGTGATGCTCTCTAACCCACATTTTTCTATCTTATCAAGTAGTAGGTTGTAGTCTACTTTATCAAATGCCTTACTGAAGTCCAAGTAAATTATATCCATAGCATTCCTCTGATCCACTAATTTTGTCACCTGGGCAAAGAATGCAATAAGATTTGTCTGGCATGATCAGTTTTTAACAAACCCATGTTGGCTTTTGGTAATGACTTGGTTTGCCTCTAGGTGTTCACTGATTCGTTGCTTGCAAATGTCTTTATAAAAAGCATGGTTTTGACACACTGCAGTATCTCTAACATAGTCTTTGGTTAAAAAAAAGAAAAACCAGTTAATGATGTAAAGCATCCTCAAACAACTTTCACTGTCCAATATTCAAGACTAATTTAAATGATACCTTTGGAATTTTGGACTTTAAATAATTACCTACTAGCATCCTCAAAATCAAGTCTGCGCATTTGTCTCAAAGGGATTTTCAGGACAGACTTTGACATCTGAATATTTTATTTCTATTTATTGATTAAATTTATATACCGCCCAACTCACCATCAAGTGACTCTGAGCAGCAGAATATCATAGTGAGTAGCATCCTAAATCTAAAGTTCATAATGCTTTTGGGGTTTGATACTTTAATTTATTAGGCATGCTAATCATCAGTTGTTGTGAAGCTATTAGGTTAACTGATCTCAGATTTGGGATATAGAATAATTTAAACTATTTTCTAAAACCTACTACTATCTTTATACCTTGATCCAATATCTAAAATGAATTGGGATTCTAGAAACATTTAATTCTTTAAATACATTCCAGAATTTGATCTCTTATTAAGCGACATGCATCTGCCATACATGCTCTATGTAAGCATTCTTAAAAGTATTTAATTAAACATGCAAACAGGGCTGAGCTAAATACCTTGACCCACATCAGACATATTACATGATGCTTCTTCCCAATATCCACATATGTTCAGAGTATGAACTCTGCACCAGTTGAAGTTATGCACTAATAAGTTTCTGTTAAGTTCCTTCCTTCTCTCTCTCCCTCTCTCTCCCCCTCTCTCTCTCTCTCTCTCTCTCCCTCCCTCCCTCCCTCCCTCTCTTGCTCTTTCTTATACCCATACCTATAACTAAACCTATGCCTATACCTATACCTACATATCTTTATGGGTTATAGTTGTTTGCACTGTGCATAAAGAAGCCAGAAGAACACTATTTGGGATGATTTACACAAATGTGGATGAAAGTCAGTTCGTACAGTCTGGTATGGTCTCAGTTTATAACACCTTTCAGGAAAGAATAAGCAGAGTATTCGTGGATTCCACCACGAACTCTGAGTTTCAAAAGCTGTAATTTCTACTCTGTATCTGATTGACTGGCATACCAATGTAACGGAATCAGCAGACAGACTGCTTTGTAAAATATGCCCTAATTCTTTCCTCTGAGCAATTTCTGCTCTGAATAGCTTATGAGCTGGAAAGAACATGCCCTGGAAACATATTTTTTCCGCAGTGTCCCCACAACATTGTCTTTTTTTCATTCCCATCCATTGGTGAGGTTGTTTTAGTTGATGTTTTCCCTCTTATTCTAACATTATCCAAGGGCAGCCCCAAGGAGTATAAAATCTGCTATGCTTTGTCACATTTTATGTTGTAAGAAAGTCAGGTGGCTGCAGCCACTTGAAACAGAAGGATGAGGAGGGATTGGAAATGAGGACAGCAAATTTCACACTAGGCTACTTTTTTGTCATCTCAAGAATGTACAAAGAGCATTTCAGTTCAGCAATGAGAAAATAATTTTGGTTCCAATGGGAATGGGAATTTAGTTTATTAAAGGCTATGTGGGAAACAGGTATTTCAAGGAAGACAGGTATCATGCATGTGTTCTGAACCCTGTGAAGGAAGAGTGGAATATGTAACAGACAAACAAATATGTGCTTCTCCTTGAAAAGAAGACTGCTTGATTGTTGCTTTTTGACAAGTTCTCTCTCAGGAACTTGAGAAAGAGTAATGTTTGGTTATGCTTCAGCCTGTATGAATTGTGTCTTGAAGCAGTGGATGGTTATTCATCAAGGGCCTTCCTTCTCAAGTATCAGAAGGGGGGGGGGGAAGGCAGGCTATATTTTGGAATTAACTACCCAGTCTCTGTTCTCTGAGGTTACTAAAAAGGACTATAAAAGACCAAAGAAATTGGAACACTTTCACCCTCCACTCACATTCAAATAATTTCATTTCAGATATGACTCTTGCACAATTAGGCTGTTATTACTCAGCTCAGGATTCTCAGCAACTTTAGCACAGGGGCCCCCAACCTTTTGGGTACCAGGGACCACTTCCCTGGACGAAGATTTTTTCTGTGAATAGGAGGGGGTGTGATTTTATGTACTGCCTGCATCACGCAGATGGCACTTCGCTTGTTTGTGCAGCCCGGTTGCTGGCATGCTGCAGCCTAGTGCCAGTCCAAGGACCCGGGGTTGGGGACCCCTGATCTAGCACAAGTAACTTTTGTTCAGTATCAGTTTCAGGAACTGGTTGGCACAATGCAGTGCTGGAAATGCTAGCTTTGGTGAAAGCATTTCCAGATGACTACAGGATTCATGCTACATAAACCGTGCAGAGAAGGAGAAGATGAAGCCTGAAAGAAAAAGATGATACTTAAAAATAGGGAAGGGATAGACAAGTACTCACATGGTAAAAGAATCAGGGGGAGCTGAAACTCTCCTCAGGTCAGCAGATGGCACTTTTTGGATGCTATAGGCAGCAGGGAATGAGTAGCCACAGCAGGATCAGCACAACAGGATGGACAAACAAGAAAAAAGCCCAAACAGACAGAAAGAGAGAAAGAAAGAGAGAAAGACAGACAACATTTAACCAAAACAAAAGGAAAGCATTACATACAGGATAAATGGAGATGTATATTACGTTCTAGGGCAGCGTACCCAAAGCCAATGATAGATACCAGCAAGCACAATGAAAGGAAATGGTTCTGTACCATAGCATGAGACAGCACAAGGGCAAAAGGTAGGAGACTCTTGTAGCATGATGTAATCTTGGAAATGGCAAGAGGTGAAGGACTCTGATAGAGAAAGGCAGAAGCTATTAGAGCAATTGCCACAGGTACCTCCACTGATGGAGACCTCACCCAAAGTATGACTCAGTATTTCAAATATATTAGTATTCAGACATATTGGCGTTTTCCAATCACTACTATAATACTAATCCTTCAAAATGTAATGCAGAGAAACCCTGCTTATTGACTTAGTGGACAAGAAAGAGAAAATACAGGTACAACATGATAGGGGAACTGCTGTGCACATTTTGGACCCAGGCAGAGTTTTGAAAAGGCATTGCATCTACAGTTCTTTTTACTAACAGTAAATAGCTGCTACCATCTCAGCATAAATGGATTCCCCACTTCCTCATCTGTCTCATAACCATTCGTTTCACCTCATTTAATTGTTATTAGTCCAGTGGCCTTGTCATTATGATTCACAGTTTTGGATTTTTGCAGCAGGGGAGAACCAAGTTTTGAAAAAACCAAGATGTGTTTTCCTGCACATAGATCAAATAAGGCACCGATGGAATCAGGTGGAACATGGTTTAAAGCAGTGGTTCTCAACCTTTTTAATGCCGCGACCCCCAACCGGTCGTAAGTCGAGGACTACTCAACTGATGCAGCACCATTTGCAGACTGGGACTTTTGGCAGGCTCAGCAGGGCAGAGACAGCCTGGACAATTCCTAGTGGCTTTTGAAAGCCAATAGAATTAAACTCTATTCAAGAGAGTCTATTCTATTGGCTTTCAAAAGCCAATAGAAGAATAAAAGGGAGTAGCACAGCTAAGGAAAAGGGGAAAAAATGGCGGACTGCGTTGTTTGGCGACCCCCGTGAAATGGTCGTTCGACCCCAAACGGGGTCCCGACCCACAGGTTGAGAACCACTGGTTTAAAGAAAGCAGGTAATACAATTTCAAACAAAGCTACAAACATGCAACTATCTCAACACCAGTTTGCAGAGTTTTGCAACATCTGCACTCTTCATATAATAAATTGAGACCCAGTGTTCCTCTTCCTTTGATATGTCACGTCAGTAGGGTGACAAAGCAACCTTTAAAGCAAACTGCAAGGGTCTAAAGGGCCCTTGGGAAACCCTGTCATCACTGCACAAAAGAAAAGAACTCAGTCCTTTTAGATTATTTTTAAGTCCATTTCCTTTTCTTTAAAAAAAAACAAGTCTAAAGAATTGCATTGTCCTTAAAGTGTTAATAAAATAATACCTTTCTTAGTCTAATTTAAATGTGTCATGAAAATGTGTGTATTTTCAAGACATAGATTTTATGATTGCTTACCCATATCTGAACATATAAAATTCACTCGTGGAATACACATAGTCCTCAACTAATGCCTTTAATTGAGCCCAGAATTACAGTTGTAAGTCACTTTGGTCATTAAGCAAAACACCAAGTAACTGCACTTGATTTTATGACCTTTTTTTGCAATGGTTGTAAAGTGAATCATTTTATCCAATGGACATTGCTTTTACTAGAAGTAGTTGCTGGAAACCAGCAAGAACAAAAGAAAAAAGAAAAACATGGTCAGGTGACTGCAGTATGCTTCAAAGGCCATAAAGGTGAGTTAGTTGCCAAGCACCCAAAATGTGATCACATGACCACAGCAGGAGTGTGCAGTTGTTAATCTTTCAAAATCGAGTCATAAGTAGCTTTGGGGAGTCTGTCATAATTTTGAACAGCCACTAAGGAACCAGTCATTAAGCAAGGACTTCCTGCATTTACATGTTTGTGTTTCTTTTGAACAGACCCAACAAAATATTTATTGTAGGCTCTGAAATTGGAATAGAAAAAATTTGTTCTCTTTCTCTCCCACATACACGTGTGAAGATCAGCCAGAGCTGTGCACTATCCTTACCTGGAACAGTGATTATCTATACAGTGATTATCTATACAGCATAGTGATATGCTGTATAGATAATAACAGTATGTCCCAGACTATTTCATTACACTGAAGAGGATCTGGTTTCAAGCCATTAGTAATACAAATATAAAATTACATTATCCAGAATGCTCATTGTTCATTCACATTATAAAGTCCTCTCAACCTCTTTCTTGTTCAATTAAAGATGATCAGCCTTACAAACACAAGAGCAGTTTACGCCTGATATAAAAGGGGTCTATTTGTCTTTCTCCCAGAACTATATGAGAGCTTTGGAGAAATGCGAAGTACATTTCATGTGTGACATTTTTCTGCTTGATGTTTAATTATAAAGACTTGTGGGCATCAAACTTAATTTCCTCCCTCTCCCTTTAATTTAGCCCAAAGTCAATGAATTGTAACTAGAGTAAGAACAAGATAAAACTGAAAGACAACTAAAAAAATCCATAATCAAAATTAAACAGTTTTAAGTGGAAAGGATCATTTGCAGATTTCTAGGTCTCCAACTTGGATTTCTTGAACAAAGGGATAGTTTTTAATATTGCAGTTCATTCCATAATGGATACATTTTAAAACCAAATACACATAATTAGATTTCTAATATTAATCTCCCCTTTTTACTCAAAAAAATCACTGTTTACTTGGTCTTAATCTCTCTGTAACAATTTTGTGCTGCTAATGAATGTTCTGTTCTCCCATTAAGCCAGCCAATGTTCCTTCCATTTGACCAATAAAAGGGTGCAAAATTCAGAAACTAGCTGTGCACACACACACACACAAACACACACACACTGTCATTCTTCTCTCATAATGTTTGCTTTTCAAAGGGAAGGAGAAAATTGCTGTCCAATGGAGCTCAAGAAAAATTCAGTGCAGTGTGTAGCAGCTGTGAAGAGGCAAATTCCATGCTAAGATTGCTAAGAGAGGGATTGAAAATAAAATTGCAGATACCATTATGTTTTTATAAAAAAAAATATGGCACATACAGTACAGGTTTAGAATACTTTGCATGGCTCTGTTAGCCAATTGGAAGAAATGGGCAACAAAAAAGATCAGAGGTCATGAACAACTTCTTAAGAAGAGGGTAGAATGTCTGGAAAGGTTTAGCTTGGAAGAAAAAGTAATTGATGGGAACATGGCTCAAGTGTATAAAAATATACACCGCTAGGATAAAATGGACAGGGATAACTATGTATTTATCTATCACATTGATACCTCGATGCAATCGTACACAGACTCATGAGGTGGAAGCTTTTCTCCTTTCAACTTTTAGGCCAATGTTTTTTTTAAAAAAAAAAACAAACACGAACAAACCCACTTTTTCATAAATCACACAAATTCATGAGCAGAAGATGGGCCATTAACTTGACTGTGTTTCAAACAGGACTGGATAAATTAATGGGAGGACTCTTCAACTGAACAACGTCACACTGAGGAGGATTTGGTTTCAATCCATTAGTAATACAAACGTAAAATTACATTATCCAGAATTCTCATTGTTGATTGTTAATATCACATATTGTCTCCTGGTTGGGAGAAGGTACCTTCAAAAAACAGTTGCAGGACAGTACAGTTAGGAGAAAATATAGTTCTCTCTCCCACTTGCAAGCCTCCAAAAGCCACTGTGAGGAAGAAAATGCTGAAATAAAATGGGTAACTTGGCTTGAGTAACGGTGCTTCCCTTGTGCTCTCTTTACAGGGTCACAGGAGGCTATCGCCAATCTCAGATCGCTGCAGAGCTTATGTGTGAAACAGGAGGTTGTCTTTTGATCAGAAAATGCCTTTTTGAGAAGCTGGATGCTGATAATAGAGCACTTTTCTCTTCAAAGTGGCATTCCGATTATGTATCAGATTTGTATCTCCAGTCTGGCAAAATTGCAGTATTGTTACTACAAAGCCAATTTTCATTTATTTCATTCATCACCCATTTTCCCCTCCTAGAAATAGTGGGAGGTGAAAGGCAACTCATTCTTTTGCTGGATTAATTCAGTCCGATGCAGAACATAAAGGGACAGGAAAGATAAAAGCCATAAACAAATATATTTTTCTTCCCTATGTGGATGCAAACAACATCGAGATTGGTGGTGCTTAAATCTTTTTCTAGAATGGCTTAATATCTTTGCAAAACAAATGCTTATCAATATACACAGATATATGCACATTCTTGTAAATGCATTCAGAGTTTGTAAGGATATCTATGTTAATTGCAGTTCTCAAATTACGTGTGGTTTATTGAAAGAGAGAAACTAATTGTACGATTCCTTTAGTTCTTTTCTTCAGAAAATCATGGCTTTTAAATGCAAATAATTTTCTCTATTTATGGAATTTTATGGAGGTCCAAACAATGTCACCCTCTATTTATAAGCATCCAGACTTCTACCTTTTTCTTTCCAGAAAAAAAAATCCATTGTAGAAGACACTGTAGATAGGATGGCTGCACAATGCAATTTAACTAGCAGTGCAAGCAGAAATCCTATGTGAAAATACTTACATGTGAAACTACAGGCTGAAGGACTTCAAGGGTTTGCAACTGTCTTTAAATTTACGTCCTTCAATTTTTTTCAACTCTTTATTTGGCAGGGAAACATTGCAAATGCATCCATTTGTCATGAGAGTTTGTCCTAAGGATCTTTATGATGGCAAAGGGATGCATTTGCAATGTTTCCCTGTCAAATAAAGGGTTGAAAAAAATTGAAGGACATTGTTGGTTCTCTACAGGTCAGGGCAGAGTTTTTCCACTTTAGCAACTTTAAGAAGTGCAGACTTCAACTCCCAGAATTCCCCAGCCAGCCATTGGATTATGGCAGGGGTTCTCAACCTTGGCAACTTTAAGACTTGTGGACTTCAACTCCCAGAATTCCTCAGCCAGCTTTGCTGGGAGTTGAAGTCCACAAGTCTTAAAGTTGCCAAGGTTGAGAACCCCTGGATTGTGGACATGCCCAATTTTAATGAAAATAATTATTCATGCTACTGCAAATTTTAGCAAGTGGATATTAGGTAATTCAAATGGGAATCCAAAGCCCCATGGATCTTCCTTCCTGCTCATCTGTGTGTTACCTTAACATTCATCTGCACTTGCTGCTTGTCCCCACCATGAGGCTGGGCCATTTATTGTTTCAGGAAACAGGAACAATTGATATTGACCTCAGTCCGCCCCTGAGCTTCTAAGAACTCCACTTGTGTTTTCTTGTGCTACCTCAACAACAGCATTTCTACTGGTGTGTTTTTTATCTCCCTTCTATCTTATACAAATGCCTCCATTCCAACTGGTCATATGATTCTTCCTCACTCCCCTCCCAGTCCATACTTCCTGACTTTGATAGACCTTTCACATTGGATGTCTTTAACCCAATTTTCTTTTCTTTTTTTCCGCCAGTCCTCAAAAGACTCAGAAAGGAATGCATCTTGGAACTTGCTTTCCTGATATGGGTAAGAAAGGAAAAGCAGAAGAACCCACTAATCAGGAACTATGTTATCTGCATTAGAGAGAATATCAGGGCATTATTAGGGCCACGTGGAATAAGGAGTTGAAATCCATAATCTCAGGCATGAAAAATGAGCTCCACATGTGAACTGATTAACTGTTTTATTGCTAAAAGCATATGCACAGGAATCTTCTCAACTAATGGTCAGCACTAGTTAAAGTTAGATGAGAGTCAATGGCAACCAAGGGGGGTAAGACTTCATTCTTTTGTGGCTATGTAAGGACTCTAAACTGATGCCTAGTTTAACTCCTCCCCCTGGCTCTATTACAAAAGAGATTTCTTAAACTGGCTTCATTTCCAGCTGATTTATATATAGGAAGCAAGCAGCTAAAGGCTGCAGGGCAAATAAATTCATATTCTTAACTGGAAGAGTGACCATCATTATATTTCATGCTGAGATATATAAAGTCTCCTATGCTTAGATTTTCCAATTACAGCATCTTTGATTACGTGTATCATCTCCTTTCAACCTTGTAAGCTTGCAATGGCAGTAAGGAATCATTTGCTTGAATTGAGAGTCTACATATTCATATAGTATTCTTCACAATGCTACAGAATTGTTTCCAAGATGTTTTTTTCTATTTTCTGATCTAGCTGACTGCCCTGAGATTTCCTATCTGTATCTTGCCCAAGTATTGACAAAGTACAACTCTGTTTAGCTTTTTTAAAAATATTATCCAAAGTTAATTAAGTGCTGCCACATGCTGCAATATGCCTTAGCCATTTTGATAACTTTACTATTGAATTAGGGAATACAAAAATCTAGTAACAGACTTTAATATCTTCCACAAGACTATAAAGAGGATTTTTTTAAAAAAGAAGAAGGAGGAGGAGGAGGAGGAGGAGAAGAAGAAGAAGAAGAAGAAGAAGAAGAAGAAGAAGAAGAAGAAGAAGAAGAAGAAGAAGAAGAAGAAGAAGAAAGAAAGAAAGAAAGAAAGAAAGAAAGAAAGAAAGAAAGAAAGAAAGAAAGAAAGAAAGAAAGAAAGAAAGAAAAAGGGCTACCTATTAATTTCAATGGAAGGTAATATTAAGTACATGGAACTCTACTTTGTATTTCGATGAATTATTTATATTTAGGATATTTATTATTGACTTTAACCGCAAGGGAGTTTTGCAATACATTTATATAGAAGACAGCTTCCCGTGGTTAATAACCACCAGGAAAAAATGTACAACCTTTTCAGATTCACTCCGTATACTAAATCTGGATTCTTTTACTAATTAAAATATATCATTTAACTATTATTCCAATTCTTAAAGGGTAAATTAATTTGCTTTATCAATGTTCACATGCCTTTTTTCATGTCTTTCAACAAAAATTTTACAGATGAACTTGCAAGACAGTTTGCAGAAAGAAAATATTTAAACCAAATATTTGCCAAATATTTGACTCTATGCTTAGAGTCCCTTTTTTAAAACTTGCATTCTGGACTAGGGAAAAAAGCCAACTGTTCAGCCCAGGTCATTAATCACTTACATATAAATATTAGGCTTTAAACTAAACAAACTAATAATTCTTCATCCCTTGTTCAATACTCCGACTTATTTTGATATTCAGCCTCCCCTATTAGGCTGAATAATTGAATCAGGTCTCAAGTTTAAAGTTCTTTCATTTAAGCATTGTTTTTCATCAGGTGATTTTCAGAATTCAATATCATTCTCATAGTATTTTCTGGACCATATTTCTCAACCTTGGCTAATTTAAGATATGTGGATTTCAACTTCTACAATCCCCCAGCCAACATGCTGGGTCACTAGGACTTGACAATCACTTGATGGCATAAAATCAATCAGTCAATCAATTGAAATTAAAATCTTTCATAGAGCTTTCAATAGTTGATATTTAATTGGGGTGGGGTTGATTTCAGTTTATGTTTTATTTTTGTATTATGCTGTAAACAGCCAAGAGTCTTCAAAAACCATCAGCATATCAATACTGTTAATTAGTAATAAAATAAACATAATCTTCCATTAATAATTACACTCATTATTCACTTTGCATAGTGAATGCCAATTGTATATAACTAAATGTATCAAACAATAAATTATAATAACTGTTTACTAACCGAACTCACATCCCTTTCCAAGTTACAATTAATTCAACAAAAATTCATATTTCATTGACAATGAATGCTTCTGCACCTTTTTGGAGAAGCTAATGGTTGAAGATACAACATGCACTATTAGTTAATATGCTATTATTGCTCCCTTTGGAACAAAGGAATTTGATATATTATTTTTGTTCTGAGAGATCCGCTAGTTTTTGTAAATGCTCATATTCTTTTTAATTATACCCAAATGCTTCTTTTGACTTGATATTTTATGAGTTTTTAGACATTTGGATTGCAAATCCTAGTTTATATGGTTCATTTTCCATTTTTATCATTCAGTAAACTGACTTAAATGTGAATTTAATTATATAAGTTGGCATAAATGTATTTATGAGACTATCTTTCATTAGCATATGAAAGTTTTAAGCATTGAGAGTCTTTTTTCCCTCTTTTCTTTTTCCCTTTTATGCATATAAAATAAATATTTTAAAAGCTTATGTCTGTTTTAATCAAATTTGTCTCCTCTTTTGTTTTCTTTATTAGCATTTTGTCTCTCAGCCATAGAAGTTAGGATCAGGATATATATGCAAAAAACTGGCAGAAAAATGTAGGAGACATGATTTAAAATAAAACTTGTTTAAGTTCTTTCCCTGAACCAGGAAAATACTTTATACTTAGATCCCCTACCCCAGGCCTTAACTTTCTCTCACCCTTTCTCCTTGTTGGCATAGCTATCTGTGGAAGGATAAGGAAGAAAAGTATCATTACAGGTGTCATACTATAATTATGCATAATTTGCATAATTTGCATAATCGTCCCAAAGGCAACTGGACTTGTTTCTCCTTGAAGAGGTTTCACTTCTCATCAAAGAAGCATCTTCAGTTCTGAACTGAAGAAGCTTCTTGGATGAGAAGCAAAATATCTTCAAGGAAAAACAAAGTCCAGTTGCCTTTTCAGAAAGCACCTTTGGGACAACCATCTCTAGTAATTAATTATTATTAGAGATTCATTTTCACAAGGTCAGTTCTGAACGTTTTGTTGCATGATCTCTTCTGTCTTTAGGGAAGGTGCAAGGTACTTAACATGGAGCATGGCAGTCATTACAGGAGATGGAAACACCTGAGGGACAAGTTTTGAAAAAAAGAGGGGGGCCATTCAAACTCTCCATACAAAGTTATACAGATTCATTATAGTTGCTACTTCCTTAATTCTTTCATGAGTGCCATTCACCTCACATTTGTGACATCTCACATTTATGTTTTCCCTCTACCAAAAAGCACATGTTACCAACTTACTCATTGAGCAAAGGCATGGATGTTCTTCTCTTGCTTTTCTGCACCATATTTGCCTGATTCCTAAGGGAGATTCGGATGAGCGATGGGGCCAGCCGACATGGTTCACCATCCACTTGCATGGGGATAGACTTATATGTTAGTAGAGTCACTTCCCGACACTGATGTAACCTCTCTCCATGACCTCCAACTTGAAGAGCAGCCTTTCCATGACATAAAGAAGGAGAAAAGAGAGGAAATATTGCATGTAGATCTTTCTTTCTTCCTTTCTTCCCTTTCCAAAAATAAAAGAAAGTTTTAGAACATTCTTAGATAGGGTGTGCAATTCTTGCCTTATCTAGATAGAAGATGGACAAATTGTATAGCCAATATCCCACTTTTCATTACAGAGCTATCTTGCTAATAGCCTACAACAGTCTGTCTTCAATTCAATCCCAGTCTGTCTTTAATTCAGTCCCAATAAATTCTCCTAAGGACTTTTTTTTTTACCACATGCATAATGTTTACTGCCAATAGCCATTTCATTCATTTTGTATGGTTTTTCTCTTTTGCTCTGATTGCCTAATAGTCCAGTAACTAGTATGAGAAGAAATTTATTAAAAAAAATACCCACCAGGGATGCCATGGTAAATCCAATGACCTCAATGAAACCATCATCATGTCTCTGAGGTTCAAATTCTCTATGGTCTCCTGGATTACCCCAGGGCATTGTGCCAGCACAATACCTATAGAAAGAAGTTGAAGCTATAAGGATTTCAGTGAACATTCAGCCAATTTTATCTTTAGCAAAAACTTATATAATCAAGCACATATGTAGCTTTGTTCTGTACAAATAACTTCTGAGAGCTCAGAGATCTTTCTTTCCTTTGTTACAGAGATTGTTCAGAAAAAAACAGGAGACACTTTTCCACATAGAATGTAGACTTGCCTTTGAGTCAAGGACTAATTATCTTCATCTAATCTATTTTATTGATATAGGAAGGACTCTTAGAGTGAAGTTTCATTCTTTCAAGTGAGCTAGGGATACATAGCACCACAGTTAGATTATTTTGATGTAGACAAGTGTGTAAAACTCAGAGAAGAGACAAAGATATTCAAGTTGTATTGAAAGGAACAGGTTGAACTTGACCCACCATCTGCACACTTCCCATTCTAGGTGGAATACCTTGTATTTTGATGCAGTTCTCTGAATAAGATGCAAAATCTGGGTGAGAACTATGTGCCTTCAAAAGCATCTACATTAGAGTTAATATTCTAGAGCAGAGGTCCCCAACCCCCGGTCCATGGACCAGTATCGGGCCGCAACATGCCAGCAACCGGACCACACAAACAAGCAAAGCCCCATCTGCGAGATGCAGGCAGCACACAAAACCACGCATCCTTCAGTCTGCAGAAAAACCTCTCTCCAGGGGAACCAGTCCCTGGTGCACAAAAGGTTGGGGACCTCTGTTCTAGAGAGCTCTATAAGCTTCCAGCACTTTCAAACTGCCTATCCGTTTTGATGGCTCAAAATAAGAAGTCTTCAAGATAATTTTATCAATATAGGCTGGTGCTCTGGGACCACATCACTATTCTCTGATATGCTTTTAAGGCTCAAATGGTGGTTAACATAGGTGATCTCTATAGATGCTTACTCATGGAGTCTCACATTGGGGAAAGAACCTTCCAAGTAGATATTGACGCAGTGGAGAAGAAGGTAATAGAGGCAGCAATGATCATAGTCATGGCAACAAGTCTATATAATCTTGGGCTATACTACTCACACAGTCACACTCAATTTATTGCAAAATAGAAGTTGGCGAATCTCTCAGGTACTGTTAGGAATTTACTATAAAAGAATAAATAAGCATATCAATGCATATGTTTATTTTGTTAGAATAAGAGGAAAGCAGTGAGAGTGATTACTTTGGATCAGGTTAGGTAGCCTTTGAAGGGCTGAGAGGGCTTCAGTTCATACTTCTGACCTTCTGGAAGTCCACTGAAGGTCTTCTGATGATGGTGAAACATCACTAAAAAGAGCCCAAAAAATTTTGGCCTGGACTTTCTGAGCAAAAAGAAGGGTTCCCTAATACATTCCTTAAAATCATCCAAAACCTGAACAAATTGCCAAATTATACCACTGAAATCCAGCCGTGTTACCCTCTAATTTTGGCAATGTATACAGCAGTAAGAACATGTATCCTGCACCCCATGAATTCCCACTTGTTTTTGAAAAGCATTAACTCTACCAAAAAAATAGCCAAGAACCTTCAAGGATTGTGTTTGGCTGTGAGAGAGAGAGAAAGAGAAAGAGAGAGAGAGAGAGAGAGAGAGAGAGAGAGAGAGAGAGAGAGAGAGACTGACTGTGTCTCTGTGTTTGCACATACACACATCTTTAAATCACTCTTAAGTCCTGCTAACTATCTGGACAAGTCTATGCAATTTTCTTGACAACATTTTCAAAAACGGCTTGCCACTACCTTCTTCTTAGAATTGAGAAGGAGACTGACCTACTGCCTAAGGCAAAACAAAAACCAAATGGACTTCCCATTTGTAGCTGATGTCTTTAACCATTACATCAAACTAGATCTTCTTCATTGCAGCTTATTTATGAAATGTTTCTCCTGCATAGATGGTCTGATACAGCACAGATGAAGAAAGGTCAGCATAACCATCTCCAGATGATCCCCCAAAAAAGTATGTTGAGAACCTTTGCTGACCCTGTTCAATTTAAGAATAAAAATTCTCAAACACTACTTTTAAAAAAATCTATTCTTACAAAAGTCCAAATCCTTTGTTACCTTACTTTTCTGGCAGGCAGATTCAGTGAACTCATTGACTCTTCTGGAAATGATGTATTATGGGCTGCTTGTGTAACAATACTTTTTAAAAAGTGGATCAGGAAAGTGGTGTGTTATTATGATACACTGTGATATATCCACAATATTCTAACAACAAACACAGTATTTCACTCATGAAATGAAGAAGTTTTGTTTTAATTCTTCATAGGGGATTAAAGACAGGACTGGAAATGGCTGAAAAACTGCAGACTTATTGGAGACAGAGATTGACAGTGGCCATATTACAAGTTGGAAAAATAAACTGAGTGTTAAGGAAGGATAAGGAAACACAGTGTATGGATTTGAAGAAAGGCAGATGATCAGACAAGAAGAGCAGATTTTTAAAAAAACATCAGAATAAATTTATTCTTTCTGTGTCTCTTCCCGTCTTAAGCTAAACAAGACCAAGTTCATTCTTCATTCAGTAAAGTTCACAAGCAGTGTTTTCAAGCTCTTGATAAAATCACATCATGAGATTTGGACTGCAACCCTGTCATTATGCAGATTGCCTAGTCTTCCACTAACTAATCCTTGATGGGCTATGAAATTCCTAATAAATACAATTTGCTTTATTTATTTGGGGAAAGCTGAAGCTTAAACAAAACAAGATTTGGGTTAGAAAATCTGTTGATCCGAATATAAGGACTGAAGCACTATTTGACAGAATAAGAAAAAAAAAAAAACCAGTTTAGGCTTGAGAGTTTCTTTGGACTCATAACGGATTTTATCTGCTGGCCTTCAACAGATAAACTGTGACCACAGCACTCATAAATGGCTAGGAAAGCTATTGAATTAAAGGATAGGAAGAGAGGAAGAATTAGGAGATATATTAAAAAATTGAGATGGTATTAGTGGTCCTCAGACAAATGAGATGAATCAGAGTTTACCTGAGATATTTGGTAGGCTGACATACAAAGTTGAGAGCCATTATGGTATAGTGGTTAAGATGCTGAATAAAAATTATTTACCTGGGTATGTTTAAAAATACTATACATTGAAATTTCAGCTCCTGAATCTTGGAAGTCAAGTCAGTCCCATCACACTGCCAGAGAGTAAGAAAAGAAAATGAAAGCAAATATGAACAGATAAACTTCATAACAGAGTAACCAGTTGATGAGAAACAGGATCCTGAAAGTTGAGAAAAGAATACAGTCTTGGAGCAGTGGATATCCAGTACAAATCAGAGTGCCCTGAAAACACAACAGGTGTAGAATCTCAGTAAGTTGCAGTGTAAGATTCAGGTTATTTGATTGGAATAAAAGGGTCTGGCAGGTGGAAATGTACTTTGGAAGACACCACATTGAATACCTTTTCTGTTCCTAAGCACCTTCTATTCTCAGCAGCATGCTTATTGGTATAACAACATCCATTTGGCCAATATATGTTCTAGAGGCTCTGCAGTGGGGTCACTGTGTTGTTGATACTCTAACAAATCATCAATGTTACCAAGATTATGAAAGATATTCTGCCAGGTCTGGGGGACTACAAGGCATAAGAAATGAGATCCTTTCAGTGACTGATTGAATCATGCATCTAGAGTCGATTCATACAACATGAGTTAAAAAAAAGAACAATACTTCTGTTCATAGGACATAAATACCTAAGCAAATTTTTCTATAATAGCTTAACACAATGATTGGTCATAGTACCAAAACAATTGCAGGGTTCCTACAATATGCTGAATCATACATAATCCAACCACATTTTGGCTTAGTCGAACATATTATATGAATCCAGACTATAAACCATGTAATTCTAGGTTCTATGTCTTAGAAGGATATCCTTCATCATGTAAAAAAAGCTCAGCCAGCTAGGAAAAAAGACAATCAATCAATTCTTGCCAAAATTAGAATAGGATTGGGACCCTTCACACTGAAGCACATTAATAATGCCCACACATTTCCAAAACTCTATAAGTCAATAAAAATGATGACAGCCTTACCCAAACCCCCATGTTTTGTTTCCCCTTCATTATTTTACTTTATTTATTGCTAGGTGAAGCTGCAAGCAAGAAAGATTAGACCTATGTGACGAATCTTTCATTTTTCCCACAGAGATTTTTTGGGGGGGTTACTTTATAGCCTTCCCCAGAAGCATTCAAAGTATAAATGTCCAGGTTCAAATTATTGTGCTTCAAACATATTATGCAAAGATCCAGCTCTCTGGAAAAGGCTCTAATGCTGGCAAAGGTTAAAGGACAGAAAAGAAGACAGTGGCCAGAGGTAAATGGACTCGGTTACCATGGAAATGGCACCATTAGAAGATTTGAAGGATCAGGTTAGGGACAGATCATCATAGGGGAAATCTATGTGGTTGCTAAGAGTTGAAAATGATTTGATGGCCAATCATAGCCTTCCTAAGCATTTCTCAAAGCCAGAAGACGTTATTCTGCAGATGCAGCTCATGTGGAAAAGTCTCTTCCAGCTACTTCCAACTGCTCAAGAAGAGAAATGAAGCAAGTGAAATCTGAGGACTTTGCTCTTACAAGGAAGGACCCAGCCTCATTTTACAAAGCAGATTCGAGGATGTGGTTTCCTCAATCCTTTCTTAGCAAAGCCCCACTTAAAGATTTGCACAACTTTAATAAATTCCATGTGCATAAACGAATGACAAACAAGGAAATTTCAATTATGCCTGGAAGATAAGATAGTGTAGCTCCTGATATTATTTATTTCTTTATTGTTTGTTTTGGTTTAAAGGGATTGGAGATTTGTTTCTATTATAAATGGTCAGTCCAGGCATCAAACCGAGTAACTTCACTCATGTTAATATAAATTAAAATGACCTTTACTCATGTTAATATGAATAAAAATGTTCTTTCATTTTTTTTTTCTAGGCTTCAGACAAAGTGTTCAAGCTGACAGGTCATTTCCCAGATTATAGTCATTAAAAGACACAAAATTCTCTAATATACTTACCACAACTTTCACATGTTTGGATAAATCTCTAGAGCTTCTCTGAAGGAAATCTGAAAAAGCTGCCTAGATTACACAGGAACAGAAGAAATACAGAAAGATGAAATATATTTTTTCCTGAAAGTTTTGACAATACTTTTAGAACATCAAGTGCAAAACTTTAAGTAAACTTGCCCCATAGAGCAGAGGTCCCCAACCTTTTGGGCACCAGGGACCGGTTACATGGAGAGAGGTTTTTGCAGGGACCAGAGTGGGCATGGTTTTGTGTGCTGCTTGCATCCTGTGAATGGGGCTTTGCTTGTTTGTACAGACCAGTTGCTAGCATGCCGCAGCCCGGTACTGGTCCATGGACTGGGGGTTGGGGACCCCTGCCATAGAGAGCACTCTGTACAAAACAAAGTATATGATTTCTTCTCTGGATTATGACTTATTTTCCCTGTCATCAGTTATAGAAGCATTTGGAAGCAGTGTCTGCTTCTTAGTAGTCTTCTTTAAAAAAAAAAAAAAGGAGTTGGAAGACATTAAGAAAACAGAATGGAAAATAAGACCAAAATACACCAGAAGCATAATCAGTATTCTGTGTCTGATAATTCACACTCTCCTCCTTCTTGTCTTTATCCTGTATCAGTTCAATACATAGATAGAAGAATGAAAAATTGGCTTCTGGATGCATTAGCTTATTTTTAGCATGGGCATTTGGTTGAGTTTTTCTGAAGGCTTCTGGCTGCATAGAGCTTCTATTTACAAGCAGTCAATGATCAAAGTAGTACCCATAACTGAATACACTTAGAATGGTATGACACCATGAAGAGAGTTTGGTCTACTGGATAAAGCATCAAGCTAGAAATCAGGAGTCTATGTGCTTTAGTCCAGGGGTCCCCAACCCCTGGTCCATGGACCAGTACTGGACCACGGCATGCCAGCAACAGGTCCGCACAAACAAGCAAAGCCCCATCTGCAGGATGCAGGCAGCACACAAAACCACGTCCCCTCTGATCCATAGAAAAACCTCTCTCCAGGTAACCGGTCCCTGGTGCCCAAAAGGTTGGGACCTCTGCTTTAGTCCTGTTTTAGGCATAAAAACTGGCTGGGCTTCACAGGGCTGTTGCTATGGGGAAAATAGGAGGAGGGAGCCGTACTGTGTATGCTTGCCCCCTTGGGTTATTTATAAAGTAATAAAGGGCATTTTTTAAAAAAAATCTAATAAATAAATAGTATATAGGCAGAAGCACTCTGATAGATGAAAATTTATCTAAAGTATCTTTCTGATTCCTCATCTAAAGTACAAAGTCCACAGGAAAAGTAGCCAGTGTTGCTTTTCTCTTAGAATCTATACAAAACCCTTGTTCCTTTTTAAAGCTTTGATGCGATAATGCTATATGCAAATATAAGTAGCTTTAAGACCTACTGAACTCAATAGACATTTTTTCTCATTAGATATTCCAGGGACTGAGCTCTTAGAATGATACTGGCTTATTTATTTATTGCTAATTGCTCAAAAGAAAAAAAGAAATCAGAGGCAAAAGTCAACTCACCCCGGCATAAAACATTTTATTTCGAAACCGGCTGTTGAATTTTTCAGGATTTGCCTCTGTAAGAAAGAAGAAAAAGAAAGCAGAATTTAAAAACTCTTTTACAAAGTCCATTATACACTGCAGTGGCTTGACAGACTTAGTTTTTTCAAGAAATAACAATTAATCAAATGGTGATATGAACTGGCAGTAAAGAAATATTATCTAAATTAAGTAATGAAGTGCCTTTTCATAATTCAAGGAAGATTGAATATTTACTTAAGAAAAGAGAGAAAGAATAATAGTATCTTAAAGACTAACATATTACTGGATTACCAATTTTCTAAGGCTAGAAAATTCTTAATTTGCATAGTTTAGAAGAGAGATAGCTGCAGCACCCAAAAACCTCCAATAGTTGATGCCAAGGTACAATTTTTAACACGGCAGAAAGAAAACATTGTTACATAAATTATTAAAAAGCAGCCATATTAATTTTGTTTATTTTAGCTAAATATAAATCAAGTTGAATTTATTTATTAACTGTCCTGTTTTTACTTGCTGTCAGGCTTCACACATCAATCAGTTCTCAATTTGGCAAGATTAATCTCTTTACTGCAGACAAGACTGAAGCTACATACACACAGAAATGTTGCCTACTGCACTACAGATAGTCCTTGACTAACAACAATTCATTTAGTGACTATTCAAAGTTATAACGGCACTGAAAAAAGTGATGTATGACCATTTTTCACACTTATGACCATTGCAGCATCCCCATGGTCATGTGATCAAAATTCAGATGCTTGGCTACTGGTTCATATTTATGACGTTTGCAGTGCCATGGGGTCATGTGATCATCTTTGGCAACCTTCTAACAAGCAAAGTCAATGGGGAAGCCAGGTTCATTTAACAACCATGTTAACTGGCAAGAAAGGTCATAAAATGGAGCAAAAATCATTTAATAACTGTCTCACTTAGCAACAGAAACTTTGGCCTCAAAGAGCTACCTGTATATAAAAGTCAAAGTCTATGTATTAAGTCTATGTTGTATGCTGCCTTTCTAAGCCATTGGAAGGCACTTAATATATGCTGATATAACAGTTCTGTCTACCAGGGAATTTCTGGTTTGCTTCATATTTTTCACCTACTCTTTGGAGCAAAGTACTTGGAGAGAGAAACTCTGATGTTCATGTAAACCAAAGCATCACTACCCCCGATTTATATAGAAGATATTTTAGCTTAAGGCCCAATTAACTATGAGTTTGCATTACCTGGCAGCTAAGGGAAATGACGAGAGCTCTCCCAATCCTTTGGAATACCCAGTTTTCTGCTAATGGCAGCAGTAGAAACACAGCTTGGTACAGGTGGGATTTTAACAAACAAGAACTAACAATTTAGCTCCTATAAACTAAATGTAAGAGCTGGGAAAGAGAAGGAAATGGCAGAAGGAAGGAGATCTGAGGTTGGGGGGGGGGAAGCTGGCTGACCCCATCAACCAAATGCAATATGCAATAAGAAAATAGCAAAATCTTTAAAACCAAAAACTAATTTTTCCCTATTGTTAAAGCAAAGGTCTGTGTAGAACAGAAAAACATTAAAAGAAAATATAGATGCTATCTGACCAAATTCTTGCTTTAAAATATGCAACTGGTCTTGCCATAGTTTTTCTGTCTCCTCTGTTTATTGAAATGCATATGCATGTATTACACTGACATCTCTGGAATAACTTTCATTTATTCTTTATTAAGTGTTATCACTTCATTATTAAATAAATCATCTGATGCATAAATCATCAGTCAAAATATTTAGCTGCAAGCATATTTGGCAAGTATTCCAGCACATGTTCATACAGAATAAAAGTGCTATTGTCACCCTGTCATTTCTTTGCCTTTCCATGATCCTTCATTATGAATTGGACTGCTTGCAGCCTTTGTAACATGGAAAAAAATATGCATTCACTCTTTCCATCACACAGTCAGATCTTTATTTAATCTGGCATGTTAAGAAAAAGGAGGTGGGGGAGAGAAACATTTTCAATTGGGCTTGATGATAGCATGAAAACAAGGACAAATAAAGTTTGATATTCCAAATTCATAGGAATAAATCATACAGATTCTAGACAGTTTTAGTTATTGTCAATATCTTTTTCCGCCATCCACAAAAAATTACTCTAATGCAACTTTTGATAAACTTGATGCCTTTCAAGTGTACAAGATTTGAATTATCATAATTCCCAGACAGGAGGGAGTGAAATCTATTTTTTCTACAGGTCACAGATTATAAATTAATTGTAATATACAGAGAGTATACAGTATATAGGAACTTTGATAAGGCAGTAACATGGCTTAAGCCCATATGAAGGGTTTATGAAAACATCTCAAGACAGGCACCCGCCTACTTCTCAGGAAGACAAAAGAGGGAGGCGGGGAAGCATATTTACATTTGCAAGATCCATTCCAATAAAAGTAATTGTAGGTGTATGTGACATCTGGCCTACCATACATAATATGGTGTGACATAATATGATTCATGACTGCTTGCTTGGTAACTGTCAGCCCTTCAGGGTAGATCAAAATAACAATCCAATGTCATGTAGGTCGGTACTACTTTTATAGTAAAGCTATAATAACAGAATCTTGAAAGGGTGAATGGGCTCCTTCCTTCCTTCCTTCCTTCCTTCCTTCCTTCCTTCCTTCGAAGATTTTATCTGAGAGGTTTTCTTTTATCTGATCATTTTCTTGGTGGTGGCCTATCTCTGAGCCCTCAAAGCAGTGGTGGGATTCAGTTGGTTCACACCGGTTTGGTAGAACCAGTAGCTAAATTTTGCTGTATTCAAAGAACTGGCTGGCTTCCAGAAGTCCAGTCTAGGCCTGGGAGGCCTCAGAGGCTCAGGCCTGCATCGAATAAAAGAACTGGTTGTTCAGGTATTTGAATACCACCACTGCCTCAAAGTTATTCCATATATCATCTATAATAATCATATTCATATTTTTATTAATCGAAGGGTACTACTCTATTGTAAGACAGAATACTTTGTTTACATGAAGAAAGGCAGATTGTTAGAATGCAGTATTGTAAGCAAACTCTGTCCACAGTCTGGAGTTCGATCTTGATGGGCTTGAGGTTGACTCAGCCTTCCTTCTTTCCGAAGTCAGTAAAATAGGCCCAAGATTGTTGGGGACAATATGCTGACTACTCAAAGAGTTCTATAAAGCAGTGTGGAGTGGTATATAAGTCTAAGTGCTATTGCTATTGTTTTTGTATGATACATTTTTACTTGAGATATCAACATTGCTCCTGAAACAGCCACACATGCTCCTTGTGTACATCAGATAGGCCACCACCACTGCCTCAAAGCTATTCCATATATCATCTATAATAATCGTGTTCATATTTTTATTAATAGAAGGATACTACTCTATTGTAAGACAAAATACTTTGTTTACATGCAGAAAGGCAGATTGTTAGAATGCAGTATTGCAAGCAAACTCTGTCCACAGTCTGGAGTTCAATCTTGATGGGCTTGAGGTTGACTCAGCCTTCCTTCTTTCTGAAGTCAGTAAAACAGGACCAAGATTGTTGGGGACAATATGCTGACTGCTCAAAGAGTTCTATAAAGCAGTGTGGAGCGGTATATAAGTCTAAGTGCTATTGCTATTGTTTTTGTATGATACATTTTTACTTGAGATATCAACATTGCTCCTGAAACAGCCACACATGCTCCTTGTATACATCAGTACCTATAATACATCCTTTCACTGCTAGTTTAACGAAGAGAAGGACGAGGGGGGACATGATAGCAGTGTTCCAATATCTCAGGGGTTGCCATAAAGAAGGAGTCAAGCTATTTTCCAAAGCGCCTGAAGGCAGGACAAGAAGCAATGGATGAAAACTAATCAAGGAGAAAAGCAACCTAGAACTAAGGAGAAACTTCCTGACAGAACAATTAACCAGTGGAACAACCTGCCTCCAGAAGCGTGAATGCTCCAACACTGGAAGCTTTAAAGAAGAAACTGGACAGCCATTTGTCCAAAATGGTATAGGGGTTCCTGCCTGAGCAGGGGGTTGGACTAGATGACCTCCAAGGTCCCTTCCAACTTTATCATTATTATTATTAAATACAGAATTTCTCAATGAAATCAGACAGCAAAGATAGAGAGCAAATGTCATGCCAAGTCTGATTCAGGTGATCTAAACAAAAACATATTTGGCATGAAATATCCCCTACTAATCTAATATTCTCTGCTGATCTCTGTAAATCCAGTTTTGCTTTCTAAATCAGCCAAAATTAGCTAGACAAGGTTATTCCAAATCTTGATATGTTTTCTGAACTGGAAATAAATCATCTCTACAGTGGTAGTTGTTAATCTGACCATGATCTGGGGTGCATTGTTTGTTGAAACTTTCACAATAGGTAAAAATATATCAGATAACATTTTCCTCATCCTTTGACTAAATATCTACAGTATCTTTAATTCATTCAGAGCATTAGTGCATGGTAATCGTTAACTGTTGCTGATACTGTTTGCCTAAACCAACAATAAATACAATACATATTCTCTCTGAAGAGAAACTAACATTTCTCCCTTTTTTCTTAGCTATTCTATTATTTTCTTAAGAATAGAAATAGTTTTCATCCCTCCTTTCTCCCACTCTATACTGTAAGTTCACAGCTGACAAAATGCTACCTATTCCATGGGCATTAAAAACATACCAGCCATCTTTAGGGCACATGTTAAGTGTATCAAATCCTTTTCACTAGACACAAGATAGCTTTAGTTCTCTCACCTCGAGATTCATGGAATTCCAGCGTGACATGGGCATCAAATCCGAGGCTGAAGTAATTATTGAAAACATTGAGGGGGAGCTGCAGTGATGAGATCAGAAGTAAAAAAAGAAAGAAACTTTGTAGAAAAGGCAATATAAAAAAATAAAATAGAATTGCAAACAGTAGGACTCACTAAGCAAAGTTGACTTTGTTATTACAGTTACAAGTATGTGTAATTTTGGAACAATATTGTCTACTCATACTCGTAAAGTAGAATGTAGAATGTAAATTGGAATTGGAATTGCTAGTAGATAGACATGGGATTTGCATAAATGGAACTCCTAACATTTTCATTAGTGAGTGGGTTTTATTTCCTGTTTACTGGCTAATTATTGACAGGTCCGGAAAGAATAAATAGCCAAAATAGCTGGTCAAAACTGAACAAATAGTAGGATTCCATGTCTAGAAACATTCCATAGCCACTCTGAATAGTGACTGATCTCCCAATTCTAGTTTATTTTATGGAGGAGTGTTGGAATATTCATGAGCAGGAAGAGTCATGTGGTAACTTAGTCAGCCGATGTGAAGAAAGTGCTACTGAGTCTGTGCAAAAAGGTATTGATTTAGAAGCTGAATTTTCAGTCTCAGGTTTGTCTCTGTATCTCTCCGTAAGAAGGCTTCATTGAGCTATGTTGTTGTAAAGAAGAATGTATGGTATTGTAAATATTTTGATATGAATATAAAAAGGTTATTTGAATCAGCTAAATGCAGTCAACTGTGAGAGCTTCTGATTTATTTTTTTCACCAACAGAGAAATTAAAATTTCACACTAACCTTCTGTGTTCCATCTTCAAGTTCTTTTGGGGGTAAATCAGGGTTTCTTTCAACCTGAAGATTCCAACGATCTAATTGAACGATGGCCCCATCTTCTACATGACAGAGAATTTTCGCAACAGGTTCATCAGTATATCCCTGAAATAGGATAGACAACAAGCAAGTGTAAATAATCAATATTTTGTCTGAATGGATGATGCATTGGTTAGTCTATGGGATATTCATCAGTATTTACTCAAATGCAACTAATTAAATCTTGATAATTTCCATCACCAGTACATGGACAAGACCAGGCACAAGAAATCCATAAAATATTATGTGTAAAATTTTTACAAATGTTAGATTATACTGGGAATGATGTGAAACTAAGTGTAGTTTTCAGCTCAACTAACTCTGCCATGGTTATGTTTATTTCATTTAATGGAAAAAAGAAAGGAATAAAAGTGAAAGTTGAAGTAGAAACTTTCTACTCTATGCAAGAAAAATAATGCACCAATTAGAAGAATATTTTTATACATTTCCTTTCACAGTTTGAGCCACCTCCTTTACTTTCAACAAAAATTGAAATGACAACCAGCCACATCTCTCTTCAGACTTACCCCTCCCCAGTTGAGAGTCCGAGCAAGATCATTCCCAGTGCCAAGTGGAAGCACAGCCACAGGAGGCTGGGGATTCAACTGTAACTCATCCAGAATGGAGAGGATCCAGCCAACCTAAGCATCAACAATGACAGAATTGGAAGTAAATGTTTAGACTCCACAGAAAAATGGGTCTAACCAGAATTTATGGTTACAATTCTAGGTAGTTCTATTTATTCCTGTCAATGTGTGATTCATAGAAAAAATTGATGAAGAAGAGTCAGGACCTGAAGGCTCATGGAAATAAATGCATAAGGGAATTACAGATACAGTGTGGGCCACCATATCTGCATTGCAAAAATCTGAATGATCAGTGGATGTCTGCAAAGAATGAGCTATATTACACTAGCTATGGCTTGTTTTCTCTATGAATGATACAATATAAGGTATAACCAAACAATTTAACACATACTGCTTCCATCCTGTCCAAGAAAAAAGCATATAGGTAGCAATAGCAATAGCATTTAGGCTTATAGACTGCCCCATAGTGCTTTGCAGAACTCTATGCAGTTTACAATGTAAGCATTATTTGCATATTGTCCCCAACAATCTGGGCCCTCATTTTACCAACTTCGGAAGGATGGAAGGCTGAGTCAACCTTGAGCCCCGTCAGGATCGAACTCTAAGCTATGGGCAGAATTTGCCTGAAATACTGCAGTTTAACCACTATGCCACCAGAGCTCTTGATGTCAATAATCCTTTATCCATATTTCCCCTTTTCCCCTGCCAAACACCAATTCATATTAGTTAAGGAAGAATATTTAAGGGGATTGCTATAAGAACAATCATTGAGATGCCTTCCATTGAAAATTATGTGGAACAGCATCAATAAAAATGAATTGACCCACCTTAGATTTGTTTTTGGATATATAAAACTTTGGGAATTCTAAATATGGCTGAGTGTTGCTCTTAACATTTGCCTTTTAGGAAATGACATTGTTATATATTCTAGAAGTCATAATAAAATAATTCACAGGGACTTAATTCCTCAGCACGATATTTTGGATTTGGGATAGGATGCCAGCTGATTAGTTTTGAAGCTTGATGGAAAAATCTGAGACCAGGAAGTATTTGAACTGACAATATTCCATTTATCATTTTTTAAAAAGGTTAATTCTGAACAGGGACATGAGAAAAATCTTGCCCTTTCTGTTTCCTTTCAATAATGCAAATAACTAGTCTACTGAATATTCACTAGATCCATTTGAACAAGATTTTCATTTCTAAATGTAATGGCTTTTGGAACAACATAACATTAATTTCCTTCAAATATAATCACAAGAAAGATAAATCAGGCACTGCTCATACTGATGAGACGGTACTGCCCCCATTCGCTCAAAATGTGAAATGCAAGGGAAAAGATATCAAAAGCAATAAATCCAACCCAATGGCATAGAGGGGTTCCAGATCCATTAAACAGATGAACCCAGTCCTCCGTAAATGTATCTTAGAAAGCCATATTGGGGAAAAAGGAAGAATAAAACCAAACAGTAAACATCCATAGGATTCTACGAGCACATACGCACGGGCATTGTTTGATTTTGCAGACTTCAGCTCTGCACATTGTTCTCATGCTGTCATGATGAACACCTGATTACTGCAACATAATTTCCTTGTGTGAATAGAACAAGGCATAGATTTAAAAAACATTAACAAACATTTAGATTGTTCCATTCACAAAAGAAACAATCAATACTCTGTTCTACAGGACAAATGTTGGACAAGCATGTGTGAATGGAGTGAGTGAATAACCCTCATTAAAATGTATTATGTTTAAAGATTTTGATAGGTGATATTGAATAGTTAGGTCAATATTACATTCTTCAATATTGTGTTATTTCTCATGGAGAGACAGAGGGAGAGATGGGGAAGAAGAGAACAAGACATAGAGAGATAGAAAGATAGAGAGATAACTATACTCTGCAAGATTTGATTAATTGATTGATTGAATTTATATAGCCGCTCATTTCATTTGCATGTGACTCCAAGTAGCGTACACAATTCAAACCCAAACTAACAATCACAAAAATTCAATTATTAAAGTCAATTAAAAAACAGTTAAAACCTATTTTATTTTAGTAATTTCACCAACAATCATTGGCAGTACCTCCTATTGTTAAAAAGGAAAGCTAATGAAAAAGAATTGGCCTTACTGTTCCATCGCCACCACAAGCCAAGATTCGTAGATTTGGCATTTTTCTGTACAATTCAAGCCTAGCGGAAGAAACCAGAGGACAAAAGTTTTTGGTTTTTTTTTTATCATGAAGACAGATTTTAGAAATGCCTCTGTATGATCAAGGCATCCTAGTCAAGCATTTATTATCAGGAGCACAAATAAAACTTCTATTTCACACAAGAAATAGAATTTGATTTTGCCATACCAGCTGCTTCATTCAGGCAAAGTCAGACTCTTCTAAAGTCAGTTCCTTTTCTAAAATCAGATATGGTGAGGAAGGCAAAACATATTTTACAGAAGTTACTAGGTCATGTGTCTATGGCGATTCTCAATTATCCAGGTCATAGTTGTCCCAAAGATGCATTTTTCCTTGTGAAAATGTTTCACTTCTAATCCAAGAAGCGTTTTCAATTCTAACTAACCAGTGGGAAATGAAAGGCCTTACATGATCCTTATTTCTTTTCATTCCCCACCAATTAGTTAGAACTGAAGAAGCTTCTTGGATGAGAAGCAAAATGTTTCCAAAGGAAAAAAAACCAAGAAAGTCTAATTGCCTTTTGAGATAAAAAAAGCACCTTTGGGATTACTGGTTCAAGTTTCTCAGAATAGTACACGGGTTCGTATCATTTTTAAAAAGGCCTTTCAGAAACAGGTATATCAGTAATTAGCCAAAACTTTAAAATATTCAGGACTTGAAAAGTTAAAGCCACCAATTGCAAGTGAGCCTGGAAAACATGCAGGGATTTTTTCCGTATTGAAGAAAATGAGGGTTTTGAGGTTTTTTTTTACCAGTTAGCAGCCTAACTCACACGTTTTGCACTATGTCACAAAACAGTTCCTTGGTTTAAAGCAATTATGCAAATTGACTGGCGGAATGTTACCCCAGAAATAACAAATTGTACTCTGATGCTTAAACAAAAACAGCAACAAGCATTTATATGGTTCTGTTGTTTTATAAAACTTGGCTCGGTATCAGCTAGCAATTCTCTTGGTTACGTCAAGCCTTTTTTCACATACAGACATAGTGAAAAACATTAAAAAAAACCAAAACAAAATGAGACCGTTCTGCTTTTGAAAATACCAGGAATACGAGCACATCAGATGAGAATGAGCAATATCCAAGAGTGCCATCTTGTGGCTTTAAAAACATTCTGTGCAGGAATTTATAGAGTAAATGTTTAAAATAAGATTTTAAAAAACCTTCAAATAGTATTCTGTGACACTAAAACATTTCTTGGTAACAACAGAGACATTGCAAACTATGGCCCTCTTTTAGATTATTTGTAACCTCCCAGTCTCGGTTTTATTAATAATCTCCCATCCAGGTTTTAACCAGATCTGACTTTGCTTAGCATTTCAGGATCACCAATTTCAGCAACTTTAAGATGTGTGTACTTCAATTCTTAGTGTCCCCAAGGAGTAGAAGCCTGACCAGATTTGGGATTGTGACTTTTGGAAAATGGAGTAAAACTACCTAAACAACCCCAATTATTTGGATCTATTTATTTATTTTGCCTTGCCTTGCCTTGCCTTGCCTTGCCTTGCAAATGCTACTGGGGATTTTCTTTGAACTTCAAATTAAAGCTTGAAAAAAAAATAGCAATAGCACGTAGACCTACATACTGCTTCAGAGTGTTTTACAGCCCTCTCCAAGCCATTTAAAAATGTCAGCATATTGCTCCCAACAATCTGGGTCCTCATTTTACCAACCTCAGAAGGATGGAAGGCTGAGTCAACCCTGAGCTGGTCAGGATTGAACTCCTGGCAGTCGGCAGATTTAGCCTGCAATACCGCATTCTAACCATTGTACCACTAGGGCTCTTATATGGCACTTAGTCAGGATTTTGGCCAAGAGGAAGAAATTAATATTCTCTTCTACTCCCACCATTTGCCTAAGGCTATTTTGGCTTCATGTCCAGTTGCACATTAATATGTGAGCCAGTTTGGTTTAGTGGTTAAGGCATCAGGTTAGAAATGTGAATCCTAGTCCTGCCTTAGTCATGAAAGCCAGCCTGGTGACCTCAGGCCAGTCATTTTCAGCCCAACTCATATCACAGGGTTGTGGTTGTGGGGAAAATAGGAGGAGGAAGATGTGTTGGATATGTTTGCTGCCTTAAGTTATTTGTAAAAAAAAAAAAAAAGGAAGGAAGGAAGGAAGGAAGGAAGGAAGGAAGGAAGGAAGGAAGGAAGGAAGGAAGGAAGGAAGGAAGGAAGGAAGGAAGGAAGGAAGGAAGGTAGGTAGGTAGGTAGGTAGGTTTGGAGTTTTTCATAATGTATCAATACACGTTTCATGGCTTGCTGTCCTCTATGGATACACAATAGTCAGTGTTGGGATTCAAATATGTGAACAACTGGTTCTCTGTGTGGATACCACTTCCGGAAATCCATTCTGGGCCTGGGCAACAAAAAATTAGCTACCAGTTCTGCCGAAGTGGTGAGAACCAGTTGAATCCCACCACCAACAATAGTCATTTTCACTGCCATTTGTAAAATTAATGTATTCATTGACACACCTTAAATTTTCCCCTTAAAGATTCAAACCATTTTCATATCACTACTGGAAATGCCCATATCAATCAATTACTTGACATTCTCATGTAATTTTTGTGTCTATTACAGTTTCCACTGCCACCCCTCCCCATTTTTTAAAGTGTGGCTTCTAGCTGTTCAAAATTGCCTGGTGCCCACTGAGGAGGGTAATAATAAGCACCAGGAAGTATAAATTTAATTGTCAAGGCATAGTTGCTGTCAAATCCTCTTTCTCAAGTTAATTCTCTCTGCATTTGTTGGAACTGGAGTTCCCATAACTTTCAGGCATCATGACCAGAAGCCATTTCATGTTTTTAATTATTAGAGATGGCAATGTTCATCACCAATGTGTTTTGAGTTGCCTCACATGAAAATAAGGAATGAGTCAAACGAAACAGCCCAGAACGTACGCATCTCTTGGTCCTTCCTGAGATAGGTCAAAGACCTGACGTGGATTCAAGTACCACATAAACATTTGGAGCACTTTAGTACCCTGAAAAGGACAAAAAAAAAAGAAAACTATCAATTAACTTGTATCTCAGTCTTAAAATGCATGATGAAGTATTTCACTAGTGTCACATTAAGAGAACTCTTATTTTCGATGCACTGATGGTATCATTTAATTTGGTAGTGAAACATCTGCAAGAAAACCATCAAGTTCAGAGAGCACCAAGGACCCTCAGTTCAACCACGAGTTGCAATAGTCTATCTTATTTTAGAACCTCCTTCCAATCTTTAACTCTTTCATCAAGTTTGAGACATTTTTTTTCCTGACATACCTTCTAAATCCCTTTCTTGGTACAAGCACATTCTGTGTTTGATGCCCCATATTTACCTGATTCCCTCCACTTTTTGGATTCACGAATACAAGCAAGGGTTTCATGAGAGGGGAAGAGATAGGCTTAATTACAAAAGGTCGTCCTTTGTTCTCCTAGAGAAAGAAAAGGAAAACATCAGCAGAAGGTTGCAGCAAGCACTTTAATTAGTGGTACAGAATTCCCAGCCATAAAATACCCAAACTACTTCTTATTAAGAAAAGTGTAAGTCGCCGTAAAGATTCAGAATGTGATTCCGTAGTACAGTTTGATGAGGAAGATGAGGGATAGTTAACCCCATTCTACATCTTTGTAAAATTCAATCCAAATGTCCTGAACAGTAGAGACAGGAGTCTCCACAGATAACAGTTTGGGGATATGCATTTTCAACCAGGCAGAAAATATGAACTGGGTTTGGGATGGGACTTGGGGAGGAGAGGAGAAAGAATTACTGTTCTCTAAATATACATTATATTTAGTAGAATATAGAATATAAAGGGATATGTCAGCTGATATAACTGAAAGGAATCAGATAGGATCAGCTGTATTGTTATGATAATTTCCCCAATTAATAATAATTAATTAGTCCTTAATTCCTCTAATTAATAATCATTAATTAATCATTAATCACCAAACATATCATATTTATCGTTAAGTATAACATGCTTCTAGAATAGAATGGAATATGTCAGCTAAAATAACTGAAAGGGATCAAACTGGATCGGTTGTTTTGTTTTGTTATGATTATTTTTCCCCTAATTTATAATCATAATAAATTGTTTGAAAGACTTACCTCATTTCCTCTTTTACTGACTTTCCTTTTAAAAGAGGTTCTTTTCTTCCGCCTGGTCGAATTTTTCAGTGAATTCTGTTTTGTTTTGTTTTTTTAAGAAGAGAAGGAAAAGGAGGAAAATTTAAAAACAATTATACCAAACAGAAGACCTCCCTATAAGAAACACCTCTGCGACAGTACCTGTGGAGGATGGTACACCACCTGGCACACATGCATGAGTTGAAAGGACATGCGTCTCATGCTTTACATTTTCACATCACTGTTATGGAGAAAGCCACAGACTAAGACCAGACTGGTACTTTCAGAACTGGAGACTTCCAATGCTGTGAGGGAGAAGAAAACTAGATGCTCCCATAGACTCACATAAGAGCACATGCTGTACCTGCCAACCCTCCCAATTCAGGTAGGAGACGCCCGTTTTCCTTCCGGGGCTCCAGTCTCCCGCCCAATCAGGTTCGTCTCCTGGTGTGGAGACCACCTATATAAAAAGGTTAAGGAGAACAAGATAAAGCCAGCTATGTTCTGGGGGCCTTTTCTTCTACGTCTTCTTTTTAAACCAATGGCATTAACCAGTAGGGTAATTAGCTATGAGTAAGTTAGGTATGTCCTCCTGTCTCATATTAGTTGATGTGTGATATCACACATGATGACTTTCTAGAGATAATGCTAAACATTTTTAGAGCTGATTCACAGACTATTGATTTTAAATGTACAGGCATTCCTCAGTTAACAACAATAATTGGAATCAGAATTTCTGTTACTAAGTCATGCAGTTAAAGTATGACATGATGTTCCTGTGATATTTAGCAGCAGCTAAATATCATGGTCCCCAATTACCATTATTAGCCAAGAACCACATGAGTCATTAGGCAAGGTCCTAAATGATTGTGATTTCCTGCTAGCTTCCCCATTAACTTACATGAAGCTGACAGGGAGGGTCACAAATCATGGTCATGTGTTCACAGGACCTTGCAACAGTCAGAAATCTGAGCCAGTTGCTGAGCAGCTGGTTCACAATCGTGTGAAGGAGGACTGCATTGATCAGAACTTTGAGAACTGTTCATAACTACCACTCATTCAGTTGCTGCAAATCTGAATGGTCACTGACTAAGTGGTTGTTAAACAAGGATCACCGGTAGAGTAAAGAGCATAACAATGAATTCTCTACTTGTATTTTGCAAAAAATATGCATCAAACAGGTTGGGTTAAGAAATACCAAGTTCCTGTTCAAAAAATGTCGGCAATGGCTGCCAAAAGTGTGTTCCTATGCAAGAATTATCAAACAAAATCATGACTTATAAGATATCCTATACAATACATGTAGGAAAAACTCCAAAGAAAATCTCATTGTTGGTCAGTTAAATTTTATTAGAGATATTCTCCCAACGTTGAGCTGGCTGGATTACACTTAGCATTTAAATTTATTTGTCCCTAGTTTTTAAAATAATAACTAAAAATAAGGATAATGAAGACTTTAGTCTTTGTTTTAATTATCTGGGATTTTGTTATGTCCCGAGCCTTGCAAACGGCTCGGGCGTTGCAGGCAGTCCCGGGCAGGTGCAAAGCTGCCCGGGACCAGACAGGCTGTCGCCAGCGCCGTGCGCATGCGCGGGTGCTGGCACGGGAAAAGTATCACATTTACCCGGGAAGCGTCTATATAAGAAGCTGGGAGGTTTTGGGAGCTGCTGAAGCCATCTACTTGTAAGCTGAACGCTGAATAAAGGAAACTGAGAACTTCAACTGCTTCTCGTGTCTGCTTCCCGCCAAGGACTCAACACTGGCGACGAAGGTGGGATTGCCTTACACCGCCTGGAAAGGAAGAAGTGTAAGCTTACCCAAGTGAGTCCTGAGCGGCGGAACGGCGTCGACTCGGCAGCTACCCGCCAATACAGTGTGCATTCGGGGGTAGGCTGGCTGATAGACCCGTCTTCTGAAGATGGCGAAAATCGGAAGGCTTTCGGAATTCGACGTCTCACATCCAGAGCGGTGGGAGTCATACGTAGCCAGGGTGGAGAACTACTTCAAGGCAAACCAAGTGAGTGAAGAGAGCTTGAAGGCTGCCACCCTGCTTTGTGTTTGCGGTCAAGACGCCTTCGACATCGCAGAAAACCTTGCAGCACCTGTTCCAGTAGAGTCTGTCAGCTACGCAGATCTGAAGAAGCTACTGAAGGAGCACTTCCACCCCAAAATGTCCGTCATCGCATGGCGCCACACCTTCAAGCAGAGGGATCAACGGCCCGGTGAGTCGGCCAAAGAATTCATCGCCGCATTACGGAAGGCCGCCAAGCACTGCGAGTTCAAAGACCTCGAAGAACGACTGAGGAACCGATTCGTGTGCGGGTTAAGGCATCGAGATCTACAACAAAGACTTTTCGCTAAAGAAGAATTGTCCTACCAAGATGCCTTAAGGGAAGTCACCGCAGAAGAAGCAGCAGGCGGCGCTGTCAAGAACATGCGGCTGACCAGAAACAGTCCAGAGGTTGCATCCGTGCACCAGGAAGACGCCCAAAGAAACTCCGAGGAGGATCCTGACGAGGAAGTCGACCGTCTCCACCCCACGACGGAAGAAAAACAGAAGGGAAGCTCTTCAGCTCTGCTCAAGTGCATCGGCTGTGGAGGTCGCCACAGGAGAACCGACTGCAAGTTCCGCTCCGCTACCTGCCGGGCATGTGGCAAACAAGGACACATTGCAGCTGTGTGTCTGGGCCGACGAAAGGTACAACCTCAGGAAGAACTGCGCCTGAAAGGTACCAGATTCCCCAGCCAGAATAGGGTAGGGTTTTGCGCTTCGCGAAGAAGCATCCTTAGGACAGGCACACACAAGCCCATTAAGAAAAAGCTGTCACTCAAGGTGAAGCTACAAGGGGTTCCATTATCAATGGAACTAGACACAGGGTCTGCCTTTTCAATTATCTCCTTGCATACATTTAGGAAGATTTGTTCCGGTAGTGGAACTCAGGCTAAGTTAAGGCCTTCTGACATTGTGTTAACAGATTTTCAAAATTCAAGAGTGTGTGTTAAGGGGGAGGCCACCCTTAACGTGCAATACAAGAGGTTTGAAGGTCCACTAGACTTATTAGTAGTAGGGGGTGAACGAACGAGTCTCATAGGACTCGATTGGTTTGAGGCCCTGGGGATACACGTCACAGGACTCAACAGCTTACAAACACTCGACCTACAGGAAGTCTGCAAAGAATTTGCAGATGTTTTCAGCCCCCAGCTGGGCACATTCAAAGGACCCCTGTGTCCTTAAAGCTAGACCCCACTGTCACTCCCATTAGAATTAAAGCAAGAAGGGTCCCTTTTGCTTTAAAGAGTAAAATTGACACTGAGTTAGACAAACTGATTCAACAGGGAATCCTAGAACCTGTTGATTCCAGTCCTGGGAGACCCCCATTGTCACGCCTCTAAAGGCAAATGGGGACATTCGCATTTGTGCTGACTACAAATGCACTCTGAATAAGGCATTGCAGCAACATGCCTATCCTGTTCCTGTGGTCAGTCATATTCTGGCCTCCCTCAAGGGGGGGCGCGTTTTTGCAAAGCTTGACCTAGCTCAAGCGTATCAACAGCTGCCTGTTGATGATGATGCTGCTATAGCTCAGACTATTGTGACCCACAGGGGAGCCTTTAAGGTAAAAAGGCTGCAGTTTGGAGTGAATGTCGCTCCTGGGATTTTCCAAAGCGTAATGGAAAACACACTACGGGGTATACCAGGGGTTTGCCCCTACTTTGATGATGTCTTAATTGCAGGAGACTCCACACACATTCTAGCTGAAAGGCTAAGGGCTGTTCTGTTAAGATTCAGGAAGTCAGGCCTCAAGCTCAAAAAAGACAAATGCAAGATTGGGGTGCCTTCTACTGAATTTCTGGGGTTCAAAATTGATGCTGCTGGGATTCACCCTGCTGAATCCAAACTAACTGCTATTTTAGAAGCACCTAGGCCAAAGTCCAAGGCCGAACTTCAGGCCTTCCTGGGCCTCCTGAATTTCTACAATTCCTTTCTTCCACATAAAGCTAGTGTAGCTGAGCCTCTTCACAGGCTACTAGACAAACAAGCAGTGTGGCAGTGGTCACAAACACATGAGGCTTGCTTTAACAAAGTCAAGGCCTTGCTCACTTCTAACAGTGTACTTGCACATTTCAACGAATCTCTTCCTGTGTGCATCGCATGTGATGCGTCCCCTTACGGGGTAGGAGCTGTCCTGAGCCACCTCAGGTCTGATGGAACTCAGGTTCCTGTTGCATATTACTCCAGAACATTGTCTTCTGCTGAGCGCAACTACGCTCAGATAGACAGGGAGGCTCTGGCTGTTGTTGCTGGAATTAAAAAATTCCACGATTTTCTATATGGCAGGCATTTCACGGTCTTTACTGACCATAAGCCTCTGCTGGGACTGTTTACCACACGTAAGCAGACTCCCCAAATCATTTCCCCTAGAATGCTTAGGTGGTCTATTTTTCTGTCTGCATATGATTTTTCTTTACTCCACAAGCCTGGGAAAGAAATGGGCCATGCTGATGGCCTCAGTAGATTGCCTCTGCCAGTAGTAGAAGCTGACCCTGCGCCAGCTGTCAACATTCTATCAATCCAAGCCTTGCCCGAGCTCCCTCTTTGTGCCAGGGATGTTGCCGCTGACACAGATCACACACTTTCACGTGTCCGTTCCTGGGTTTTGTCCGGTTGGCCTGAGCACTGCCCTAGTCCTGAGTTTCAGAGTTTCTGGTCCAAAAGAAACGAGTTGTCCCTTTCTCAGGGTTGTCTGCTTTGGGGAAACAGAGTTGTCATTCCCACCTCAATGAGGACTAGGGTCTTAGAATCCCTCCACGAGGGTCATCCTGGCATTGTTCGTATGAAGGCTCTTGCACGCAGCCACTTGTGGTGGCCTGCTTTAGATAAGGATATTGAGGCTAAGGTGCATGCATGCCACCTGTGCCAACGATCTCGCCCAGAGATGCCCCAAGCTCCCGTGCATAAATGGGAGGAAACACAGTCCCCATGGTCTAGGGTGCACATTGACTACGCTGGGCCCTTTCAGGGCCAGTTCTTCTTGGTCCTTGTTGACAGCCATTCAAAATGGCTTGAGGTTGTACCTGTCTCATCCACCACCACTGCAAAGACTATTCAGGTACTGAGGGGGATTTTTGCTGCACACGGGCTTCCAGATGTCATTGTGTCTGACAACGGCCCTCAATTCACTTCCTCCGAATTCCAAGCTTTCTTACAGGCTAACATGATTCGTCATGCCACGTCTGCACCCTTCCACCTGTCCACCAACGGTATGGCTGAACGTATGGTGCGCATCACAAAGGACGCCTTGAAAAGACTCACCTACGGGGACTGGCATCACAGGTTGGCTGACTTTCTCCTTTCTTATCGCACCACACCGTCCACTTCTACAGGGAGAAGCCCAGCTGAACTTCGTTGGGGGCATCAACTTACTACTAAACTTGACCGGTTGCATCCGGACAGACTGCCTTCATCTACCTCACATCCTAGGGCACCTAGACAACTACTTGTGGGTGCCCCGGTTTGGGCTCGCAATTACGGGCCTGGTCATACCTGGGTCCCCGCTTCTATTTCCAGGGTCACAGGTCCTCTCTCCTACGAGGTTGCCCTGGACAACGGTCGTGTCCTGCGTCGGCACATCGACCAACTCCGCCCTAGGCGGGACTTTTCAGATGAGACTCCTGGGTCTTTTCCAGGGGGGGAGGGGGACCCTTTGGAGCAAAGGGAAGGGCACGAGCTGCTGCCCATCTCCACTGATGGAGCCACAAACGGCCCATCCCAGGGTTCCGCGAGAGCTCCGAACAAGAATTCTATGAGCCTACCTAACTACCAGGCATCCACGCCTACTCCAGCCAGGGAGTCACCCCGGGGGCATACTCACTTTCCACACACATCACACAGCACTCCAGTCATGGAGGATACCCGGGGGCATCCCAACAAATCATTCCCCGCAAGAGAGCTGGCACACAATCCCCAAGGTTGGCCTGACCTTACCCCAAATTCTACAGGGGGTCAAACATACAGGGAGGTGGTCGAGGAACCAAGTCCCGACTACAACACCTCTAGCCCAAATCAGGGAGTAACTGAGTTTTGGGAAAGTACAGAAACCCACACAAGCCCGGACACAGAACGGGGTTCAGGGAATGGTCAGCCTCCTGACAGGTCTTGGACGGACCTAGGAGGTTCAACAGAGACGCCCAGCAGTGGCTATCACTTCAAGGGGCCCGAGGGTCTACAGCTAGGCAGGTCAACCAGGTCACAAAGTGACAGAAGCCCTGGCCTGACGAGCCCGGTGGGCAAGCAAGCAGGCCAGGCATCGGGGCACAGTCCTTGGAAGGCACCAAGGCAAAATAAGGAGAACAGGCTCACATCTCCCTCCAGTCAGGGAACTCATGCTAGTAACCCAGAGCTGAGAAGGTCACAGAGAGCAAAGAAGTCTCCTAAATACTTAGAGGATTACATAACATTGATGGCTAAACAAAAGCCAGGTAACGATAGGAGCACTGAGAAGCAGAACACTGCATAAAATAAATGATTATATGTTGGTAGTAGTTTTAGCCCGGGGGAAAGGGGTGTTATGTCCCGAGCCTTGCAAACGGCTCGGGCGTTTGCAGGCAGTCCCGGGCAGGTGCAAAGCTGCCCGGGACCAGACAGGCTGTCGCCAGCGCCGTGCGCATGCGCGGGTGCTGGCGCGGGAAAAGTATCACATTTACCCGGGAAGCGTCTATATAAGAAGCTGGGAGGTTTTGGGAGCTGCTGAAGCCATCTACTTGTAAGCTGAACGCTGAATAAAGGAAACTGAGAACTTCAACTGCTTCTCGTGTCTGCTTCCCGCCAAGGACTCAACAGATTTGTTTGGTGTATATGTGAGCAAACCCTTTCTGCTCTCTGTCCCCATGAAGTATTGGCATTGAATTCAATGCCACTCAATACTGAGTCCCTGAACATTCCAGAATGCAAGCTGTGTGCTTGGATAATGTTGCAAAATCACACAACCATTTTCTCCATGTTGAAATTCCTTGAAAATATAATGAAAATGAAAACTCAAGAGTTTGCTTTTGCAAATATTCAAAGAAACTGAAAATTTCAGTCTTATGAAGAACGATTGAAGGAACTGGGTATCTTTTGCCTTAAAAAACAATGACTGAGATGGGATATGTTGTCTCTCATCAAATTTTTGAAAGGAAGGCCAAGGCCTGTCTTCTGAGTGCATGACATAGAATAATGGATTTAATTTACAGGAAGCAGATTCCAAGTGAATGTTAGAAAATACTTCCAGAAAGTACAAGTAATGTGACAGTGGACCAAATTATGCAGAGAACTGCAGGATTCGCTTCACTGGATTTGTTCAAGCAGTTGCTTAATAACAATCTCTTGGGAGTGCTTTAATTATATTTCTGCACTATATAGGAGTTGGACAATAGCCTAAACATCCACCTTCAATATTATAATTCTATGAAAGCTACGTAGCTGAGGAATACTGTTAAAGTTATTCTTTTACATCTAATGATAAATACAATGTTATCCACAATGAGACATGTTTCCCCTTTTAATCATAAAATGAACGACTCAGGCATACACAACCACTTCGGTCTATTAGCCCACATTTCTATACAGGTCACTTGAATTGATAACAGTTCCATACAGAAAAAACCATTCCTGATTTTTTTCTTCACCTTATCTAAATTGATGAAAAGGTATTGGTGATATCTTTCAAAGGAGAAGATTGTTTCAGTGATGCAATGATGGGTAGAGTGCATTGCCTTCTTCAGTTAAAAAGGAAGACCAAGTGCTGGTCTTCCTTTTTAAAAACAACTCCCCAACATGATGCAGTCTCCTTAGCTTCCCATGTTTTTATTAAACCAAAAAGGAGGGAAGCATGCAGGAAAACTTCTCATGAGTCTTTCACATGTGTGGGCAGCCAGGCAGGCTTCAAAGTCATGGAGAGATGTGTTACAAAAATAATCACAGCTTTAGCACCTTCTGCCATCTCCAGGTATAAAATAAGCTCAACCACATGAGATATGTTCATGTATTCTTAAAATAAGGTTAAAAAAATAAATACTTCTTTTGCAGGGTAAGAGAATTTCTGAGCAACTGGAAGCACATTTCAACCCAGAGCTCTTTATAACAGGGTAGTGAAGCCAAATTCCTCTTTTAGTAAAAAATGTCAAGGGTCATATTGCTCCTCATTAAGGAACATTTCAAAAAATCCATCACAATAATTCCAGTTCAAGCACAAATAAATTATTATTCTTTCTTGGGTTGGTCTATGTTTGTTTGTTGTTATTTGTGTTTTGGATTCTCTTGCAGATCCAAGATCCAAAAATTATATATTTCATTGCAGAGATTATTTTCATCTTCCTTCTGAAGGAGTATCTCCAGGCTCAATTTCCCACATTTATCCATGCATTTAATAGAAAGTCTGGAATCCTCACAACAGCTCCTTTCATAATTTCTCTGAACACATGAACACTTTTCTCCACTCCATATATTCCATCTTTTCATAATGGAGAGAACTCAAAGTATTTCAAATCACCAAAGTATCATTTGCTGTGAAAAGGAAAGCATTTATCACAGTACAGCAATTCTAAGAGAAGAAACTGTGATTTCCAGATATCTCTATAGAGCAAAGCCCTTTTTTAAAAGAAAACAAAAAAATCCCCTAAAATCAACTTTGAATATTGTTTTATTATCTACCTATAGACATTTAAAACAGAAGTAGATATGTTAGCCCAAAGGTGAATGATATAATCTGTCCAAGATTATGAATGGTTGTTGTTCTACTGCACTATATATTTTTTCCTAAGATAATTTAATTTAAAATAGCTGCTCAAACTCAAAAATAGCAAGCATACTAGTAAAAAAAATAACTGATCTATAGATTGCAAGCATATTAATTGGAAACCCTGGTGAAAATATCCCAAGTTCCAAGGCAGTAGATAAGAATGTGACTTCTAACACAACATTTTATGATATGTCTCTTCTCCACATACTCCAGCTTGGAGAATAATGTTCAATTCAGCAGACCACAGATTGAATCAAGAAACTAATGGAGGAATAAACTGGAGTTGAGCAACTACCTCATTAAAGCAGACCAAGGATCACCTGGAAAACCTGGGCTAGCTTTACATGAACCATGGCCACTTTCCAAATTGTTCATTTGACTTCAACTACAGTATGTTTCCTGTGGGATCTGATCATGCCTGCTTTTGCTTCTGGCTACACCCACTGCTGGAAGGCTGAACATGGAAATCAGTTTTCATTTGAGATCTCAACCAGAAAGGATTTCTCCAGATTCTTAAAATGGCTGTTTAACTATCCTAATTAATACATGTATATTTAAACTACTTCCTGGAAGGAAGAAATGTTTGCTTTTGACCACAATTCCGAAGGTCTAACATTTCACTGTACCAGGTTTTAAACAGTTACATAAAATAAAGTTTTAGAAAAACTATATGGAAAGAGAAGACAATGTCTTATAGCAATTAGGGGTAATAGCTGATGGCAGCCAAAGACAGTATAGCATGTTTTTCCCCACAGGAATACCAGCAGTCTTCAGCCAAGTGAACCAATCCACACTGTCAGAACAGGCAGAAGCATGCTGTTACCTGAGGTTTCTTCACCTTAATGATCCATGTGGGGGGGACAATAACAGCAGCATGAGCTCCTAGGGAACAGGGCTCCTCAATGTGCTGCAGCAGGAAGCAGGTGACTTTATTGTGAAACTATAGGAAAGAAAAGCAGAAGCCTCTGTGAAATGAAGACTATGGAGTAGGGCAAACGTGAGAAGGGGGATAAATAAAAACATCAGTATTAGGAAAAGACATATCCCAATCTCTCTTCCCTTGCTTTGCAGCATTTTAGGCCCAAGGAATACATATCTTTAACACTGTTCTGTCCACACAGAACATGTTCTGTATTGAGAGAAGAGAGGGTTCCATATGAAAAAAAAGGACATGTGAAATTCATGTACATCTATGCTGTTTTGCCTTCTTTCAGTCCAGATCACAATTGGCACAATTAACCTAACCATAAGCAATAGCAATATCACTTAGACTTATATACTGCTTCATAGTGCTTTACAGCCCTCTCTAAGCAGTTTACAGAGTCAGCATATTGTCCCAACAATCTGAGTCCTCAGTTTACCAACCTTAGAAGGATGGAAGGCTGAGTCAATCTCGAGCCGGTGAGACTCAAACTGTCCAACTGCTGGCAGCCAGCAGATAGCAGAATTAGCCTGCAGTACTGCATTCTAACCACTGCACCACCACGGCCCCTAAGCTATTTCACAAGCCACTTTCTCTTTTTTATATTCCCCAAACAAGTGCATAGCCAATCCCTTGCTTTTTTTGGTATGTTTTCTAGTGAACGATGACTTCTAATTCAATAACCCAACAGATGTTCTTCTTTATTTATATAGTAAATACATAATGCTGATGACACAAAGATGTATAATGGGGTTGATACTCCTGGGCTCATTTGTAATACAGAAAATGATTTGGCATTGCTGGAAAATTGATCAAAAATGTCGAAACTGCAATTCAATGTTTCTAAATGTAAGATTATGTGTTTGGGAAAAAGAGACCTCTGGCAGGATACAGTATTGGGGATTAGAAGAAGAGAAGAAAAGGATTTAGGTGTGCTCATAACAGATGACTGCAAAATGAGTACACAGTGTGGCAGCTATGAAGGCAAACAAAATTCTGGGATGCATCACTAGAGGGATCACCAGCAGGAAAAAGGAGGTCCTAATCTTGCTATGTAGCACTTTAAGTCAGACCCCATTTAGAATACTATGTCCAGTTCTGAAGACCTTGCTTTAAAAAAAAGGCATTTTAAGATTGAGCAAATCCAGAGATGGACAACAAAAGTGGTGCAAGGTCTGAGGGACAAAACAGTATCAGGAAAGATTGAGGAACTGAATATGTATAGAAGACAGAAGGAAAGTGAGGAATGTGGCTGAAACCTTTAAATATATTCAGAATGTAAACAAGGTTCTAGGAGGCAGTTATTTTTAATATTAAGCAAAAATCAAGAACATGGGGCATAATCTCAAACTGACAGGAGGGAAGTACAATAGTAATGTTAGAAAAATATTACTTCAAAGAAAGAATAGTGGAATCTTGGCACCAGCTTCCAGTGGTTTAGCCTGCCTGGGATAAACAAATGTCCATTATCTGGCAAAAAGATTAAAAATTTTAAAAAACTCAAAGGGCAGACTCAATGGGCATACTAAGTCTTTTTCTGCTGTCGGTTTTCGATATTTCTATAACAGGAAGGAAATGGGGAATAAAAAGCAGAATTGACTCCACCCATGGGCTCTTGTTTCATGGGGATGCTATGTGTGAAATCACAGCATCAAAGCTACTGTAGGCTAAAATTTGCAGGAGCCCTTTGAGAAAATGACTTACCGCTTGCTTGCACCATGAACAGCTGATAGCCACAATCTCTTTACTATGAAAGGAGAATTTTTGTTGAAATCCCTGAAATCATAAAAGTTTGTTGCATCACCAATTAACATTTCACATATTTTTCCCAAATATAATTGAGGCTATTAATGGCTAATACATAGCTTTAATAGTCACATGGTATATGACAGCTGTTAAAGTCGAAGCTGTATTCACTGATGATAGATACCTTTACTTTCCAAACTCATCTCAAAATGCTCTGGTTAAGGTCTGCCAAAATTTCTGAAATAACAGTTTACTGTTATTCACTGTAGAATACTTAAATATTCTATATTCAATATAGGAAAAAATATATTTTACCAATCTGAGCCTAGAGCTGATATAGACCAAACCATCAACTTTTGGATAGAGGTGAGATACACAGTAACTCTAATAGAACATAATATATGTAGTTGAGAGTTAAATTGTGCAGACCTTAATATTCTCTGATCTCGGTTGTTTGTTTGCAGACGTTTCAGTACTTGACAAGGTAACATCATCAGAGCTAGTGAGAGTGATATTGCTCCCTGTTTATATATACATGCCAGTGTTGGGGGGAGGGGTTGTTGTTTTCTCCTTGGTAGTTCTTTCATTAGTATTATTATTAATACTAATACTTATTATTGTTTATTGCTTGATTGTTTGGTGTTAATTCCTATTTATCTGGTTTGTAGGCTGCTATAGAGGATGTGCTGAGAGTGTATATTATTATTGCCAGCCTCAATCATGTGTGAATTATTGGGGGGGGGGTGCTTATTTTGGTTTTGTATAAAAATTCTTTCTTTATAAAATTTTATTTATTAATTTTGATTGTTATATATCACCCAGAGTCACAAATTATGAGATGAGAAGCTTTAGAAATCTCTTATTTATTTATTCATTCATTCATTTGTTCATTCATTCATTCATCAATCAAATTTCTTTGCCATCCATCTTGCAGTTCAAGGCAATTCTGAGTGAATATAAATAAATAAAATACTGTGAGATTACACAATGGGCATGTAACTAAATCCTTATATATATAAAAACAACCCAATGGACCATTATATATACATGCTGCTATCCAGAACACAGTGCCCAAATTTATCATTTATAACTAATCCAAATAGCTCCATTTAGATCCCTTGGCAGAAACAAATAACCAAGGAACCAAAAACAAAAACAAGCAGGGCCTACTTTTGATTTACTCAGGGTCACTGCCATGGTTCTACAAATCAAGGAAAGTATCCCAATTAGCAATATTAATCCTGAAGAAATGGGGTGTGAAAACTAGAATACTGAGGTAGAAGCTGAAACTTTGGTGCAAAGTGGGTATGTATGTATTTAATTTATTGATTAAATTTATATGGCTGCCCATCACACCAAGAGCAACTCTGGGTAGCGTACAACAATCATGGTTGCACTGTTTATAATAATGTTTGCACTGTTAGAAGTATGTCCTGCATTGATTTAGGATTTCTGATAAATGTCCATATTTGATACTTGTGATACTGGCCATGCTACAACAATTAGTAATGATGCATTGATGTTTTTAATCTTGGACCTCATGTACACAGAGAATGTTTTTGCACCTTCAGCTATAGCTTCTAGCAGTTATCCCTTCTGTATAACACACAGTGATGGGATTCAAATAAGTGAACAACCGGTTCTCTGTGTGGATGCCGCTTCTGGAAGTCCATTCTGGGCCTGGGCAACAAAAAATTAGCTACCAGTTCTGCCGAAGTGGTGCAAACTGGCTGAATCTCACCACTGATAACACAATCTATTATCTTCTGCTCATTCATATTAACACAGAAGTTTGGTTTTGGGGAATTCAATGAATGCAGTTCAGAAACTGCATCAACTGTATAATTGGTACATGTTGATGATCAGAGATTTGAGCTTTTTTAAGAGTAGGAGAAAGATGGTGAAATTATCTAGTTTATTACAAAAGTAATAATTTAAAAAATGACCTCAGAGGAATGAATGATGTGAAAAATAAAAGATGCTGCTCGGAGATAATAGAGCCATTATTCTTTTCTGCATGTCTGACAAATTGCTTCTTCTTTTTTTCAGATTTGCTAAATTGAGAACTGGGGCAATAAAGAGCATTAAATATGAGTTTATAAGGAAGCAGTTTTTTAAAGTCCCAGAAGTTGATATTTTTGAATATCAGATTGCTCAGATCTTATCAGAGGTTTACATAGATTTCTAAATCTTAAACCAAACAATATCTATGCATACTGGCAAGACTAATATGTCTGAGTTGCAAACATCTGAACAGCCACTAGATAGCAATAAAGAGGTACTAAAATATAGATTCTAATATTGCTGTCACCTTATTTTTTTCTGATTTTTTTTGCAGCCCAAGTCACAGCTATAGCATAGGTGGGTAAGTATCAAGCAGACAGAGGATACCTTTCAAAATTTGGTAGGGAAGGCAGGAATGGCAAAAATGAAGTCATTAAAATCTACAGTACAGGCTTCAATTTTAATATCTGAACAGGAAAACAAACAGAAAAAGCAGAACAAAAAACTTTTAAAGAGGTTTATTATGTTGCTAGAAGAAAAAACACCCGAAGACTAGAACTTATAATTACTTTTTTTACAGATTTTGATGGCATTATTTCTACCTTTCCACACTGTTTACATTTCCCTTCCTGACGTCTTCTGTGAACCCAGTGATGTCGAACGAAATTCTGTAGAGTAGGAAAACACAACCAAGGAATAGAATTGATTTAAAATACACTCCAATCAAACCCCAACTCTATTTATAGAACCTTGATCAACTCATGTATAAGAGGGCAAAGGCATTGCCTCACATTGGCAAAATGTAATCATGCATGATAAGTAAAGGAGGAATAGCTCATAAGATGTTCTGAAGCACACCGAGAGATCTTTTATAATAGAAACTTGCCATGAGGCTGAAAAGAACTGGCTGCAACCTGGAATCTTTAATAACTCTCAAAGCCACTGTAGTTTTTAGGCTAGATCTAAGCCATAGGACTTCCTAGTTTAACCTTTTGAAATCTGATGCCTTTTAGATGTGTGGGATTAGAACTCCCATATTTATCCATTGTGGTTATTTCTATGAAATGTTTACTTTCCGGTTCTTCCCAGTTATTAGGGCCAAATATGCCTACACAATACCCCTAATCCAATTACTGAATTAACTCTATTCTACATTTGCATAAAGCACAAATTATATGGGCTGAGCTCAGTGTATCTCTTTTTTGCTTTAGTGAGAAAACTCATTTTACTTCCATAGTACAGAGCACTTTATCGAAGCAAAAGTCATCCTGCACAGGCCTATTGGACAATCAGTTTCAGGCCTAAAACTAAGAATGACACGTGATGATCCTTCCAAGCTGAGTTCTTTCTTATTCTCAAACCTATAGCCCAAATTTTGCCAGACTGAGGGAGTGGTGGGATTCAAATATGTGAACAACTGGTTCTCTGTGTGGATGCCATTTCTGGAAGTCCATTCTGGGCCTGGGCAACAAAAAATTAGCTATTGGTTCTGCCAAAGAGGTGAGAACTGGCTGAATCCCACCACAGGACTGAGGACTCTACTCTCTGCATTTACAATATACTCTGGAAATTATTAGGATGGTGCTTTTTCTATCTGTAGGAGAAAAGCAGGCAGAGCTGGGGGGGGCAGAGTTAAACATGTCATCAGCTTAGAGTCCTTACATGGCCATAAACAATCCAAGTCCAATCCTTCTTGAATTCCATTAAGCCTTATCTGGTGCCAATTTAGTATTGAACTTTAGTTGATTGGATTCTTGTGTATAGGCTTGAATGAAACTCAACAAATGGTCCTGATCCTTTATGCTTGATACTGTCACACATAATATTCAGACTGAGATGCCTCTTACTCCTCTGGAATGCACCCCTTCCTTCTGGGAATCCATCTTCTTATTTCATTTCATCACACTCAGACTTCTTAGTAATAAGTGTCATTCAGGTAAGGCTACCTGTATCAATCTGTTTCCTGCCACTCACCTCTCTTGGTGATCTGGAACTGCCTTCTCGAAAAGTTGGCTTGCACCGGAAGTTAATCTGTCAGGAGGGAAGCAAACCAAGAGACCAAACAGTAATTACTAATTTGTCTTTAGAACAATCAAGCTGTCAGAATCCAATTATATTTCATCTTTAATTATCAAACATAGAAACTCCCAATTCTGCCTTCTCTGGATTCTGCCATAAGAGGGAGAAAAGGGGGAGAGCAAAGGGGCTTTATGGCCCTCACTTCCTTCAACACACTTCAAAGGACTGAATGTGTGTTTATTGTGGCCTCTAAGCTTTAACATATCAAAGAAGAGTAATTGCCTTTCATGTAGTTATCTGAAGTCTCCATCCAGACGGAAGAAGAAAGGGGATGGAATTGTGATACTTGAAACTATCACTGGAAGGGGGGTTGATTGGGTGGGACTACTGGGGAACCCCTTAAAACCTTGAATGGGAGAGCTTGAACCCCAAGTCCTGTCTAGCATGCCTGCAACCATTTTCTCTTAATAAAGGATTCCTGTTGGAAGAATTATTCCAAGAGTTCTGTCTTCTTAAGATGCAAAGTGGGGTGGGTCCTCACATTAGACAGGACTTGCAAAATTAATCCACCTGGAAGGAAGACCCTTGCCGGGGGATTTTGCAAAAATTTACCATGTCAGACAATGGAGCAAAAGAGGGGGAAAACTCCCTGGAAAGAGAGCCGCTGACCCAGTTGGAACCTTGCCAGAGGTTGGGATCCGAGAGGCCAGATTCCTCAGGAGAAGAAGTGGTGGAGACACAGGACCACAAGCCTCGCTGGTCGATGGGCGTTGGAAAGAAAAGTGAGTGGGGAAAGGAATCAAGAAAGGTGACCCTGAGACGGGGGACCAAGCAACCAGAATGGAAGCAGGAGATGGAGAAATCCCTGCACGCAAGTGAAGAGGGAGGAAGCTGGGCACCGTACTCAGACTGGATCCTAGAGAAAGCTATTGACCTGATGAAGAGAACTCTCAGCTCCCTAGGAGAGGAGAATACTGAACCCTACGGCTGCCCCAGTTCCTGGAGCCGCAAAGGGAGAGACACCGAGGGGAACGTGGAACCTGCAACCCCAGGGACATCTACTGATCCAGGAGCTCCCACCCCCTACCGGACCACAGATGGCAATCTGGACGGAAGGCACTACCACCCACAACAGAGGCACCGATCCATTCCAAGACGTCCACCGTTGGAAGTGAAATTCAAAGGGGAGCCAACACGCTTGGGATTTTTCCTAACCCAAGTCCTCAGCTACATGGAGGAATATGGGCAGGACATTCCCAGCGACAAAGCCCGCATCCGGATCGTGCAATCTGCCCTGGATGGACCAGCTGCGGATTGGGTAGTGAACTTGCATGACTCCAATGCCCCAGAACTCAGTAACTTCAACCGTTTCATGTCCTCTTTGAGAAGACGATTTGAAGACCCCCTGGCTGATCGCAAAGCCCGTGAAAAATAACAACGATGAGGCAGGGCAAACGCCCAGTGGCTGAGTATACACAAGAATTCCGGGCCATTGCCAGCAAACTGAATTGGCCAGAAGACATCCTCCTTGGCCATTTCAAAGACGGACTAAACTATGATCTATATGATGCTTGCCTGCCCCGAGGGGACCCACATCGACTTGAGGAATGGTACGTCTTGGCAGAGGAAGCAGAGATCGACATATTGAAGAGGCACCGCCGAGGAAAACAATGGAGCCGCCCCCCGCCTGAGCTGACACACCAACCGGTGAAATCATCGGATACAGCCAAGAAGCAAATGGGGTGTTTCAAGTGCGGAAGAGAAGGGCATCGAGCTGTAGAATGCCGCTCAAAGGCCCCCCAGCACAACCCAGACAGATCCCCAATCAACAAACCCGGAAAGTATTCAGCTAAGCCAAAAGAAACGGCCATGAGAATGATGGAAATTGCAGAAACCCCCACCTCTGCTCACCAAGGGGAAAGGACTCCAGCCTACACCACAGGGCCGGTGGATGCCTCAGATGACAGCTCGGAGGGCGAACCCCTGGTAAGTGGATGCATCACACCCATCTTCAAAACAGTGACTATATTAATCCCCCCCATGCCCGAAGCTGTGAAGGTGAAAGCCTTAATAGACTCTGGCTGTACCCGCTGCCTCATTAGCCCAACACTAGTGGGGAATCTGGGCATCCCATCCAGGAGACTGGAACAACCAATCTCATTTGGCCAGCTAGATGGATCCATAGCAGGGGGGGTGCCAGCTACCCTAGCCACTTTGCCAATACATCTCTCCCTGGGCAACCATGAAGAGGACTTAACGTTTGTGGTGACCCCAGGTATGGAATGCCCAATGATTCTAGGGATGGAATGGTTGAAAAAATGGAACCCCTGGGTAAATTGGAGGACGACAGAAATCAAATTCCCGAAGGGGGACCCTATGGACTTAAAACCCCAAGGGAGGCTACCAGAATCAAGAATAGAAAAAGCATCCATAGGAGAGGAAAAAAGATTAACAGAAATACCAGAGGAATATAGGGACCTTGCTGAAGTCTTCAGTGAGGAGAGGGCGAATGAGCTTCCCCCCCACCGACCCACAGACTGTACCATTGAATTCAAGCCTGGGGCAAAACTCCCGAAGCCCAGATTATACTCCATGAGCCCAAAGGAGAAGGAGGAAATGGAAAGATTTATAAAAAAAAACCTGGAGAGAGGTTTCATTGAGCCAGCCAAGCCTAAAGTGGCTGCCCCGGTCCTTTTTAGAGAGAAGAAGGATGGCTCTTTACGTTTATGCGTGGATTATAGGGCCCTGAATACAATCAGTGAAAGCAACCTATACCCGCTGCCCCTCATGAAAGACATGCTGTCACACCTATCGAAAGGGAAAATTTTTTCTAAACTAGACTTAAGGGAAGCTTACTATCGAGTGAGAATCAAGGAAGGGGACGAATGGAAGACTGCATTTAACTGCCCCATGGGGTGCTATCAATTCAAAGTCTTGCCATTTGGATTACAAGGGGGCCCTGCAGTCTTTATGCAATTAATCAATGACGTTCTAAGGGAGCACCTGTTTAAGGGGGTCCTTGTTTACTTGGACGACATTCTTATCTTTACCGAAACAAAAGAAGAACACGTCAAACTTGTCAGAGCGGTTTTAAAGAAGCTGCGAGCCGCTCACCTATATGCCAAACTCTCAAAATGCGAATTCCACCAGGAAAGGATAGACTACCTAGGCTATCGCATATCCCCACAGGGCATTGAAATGGACCCAGAGAAGGTCAGAGCAGTATTAGAATGGGCACCACCCCGCACAAGAAAGCAACTACAAAGTTTCCTGGGCTTTGCAAATTTTTACCGCCAATTCATCCCCTCATTTGCACAGATAGCCTTGCCCCTCACTAACTTACTAAAAACGAAGGGAACATCCTCAGTAAAACCTAGCCAGCCACTAACATGGACAATGGAGTGCCAAGCAGCGTTTGAGAGACTAAAGAGACTTTTTTCTGCCGAACCAGTACTAAGGCACCCAGACATGGACAAACCCTTCATAATACAGGCAGATGCAAGTGATGTGGCAGTGGGGGCTGTGCTATTACAAGAAAATGATGATGCAGTATTGCAACCCTGTGCATATACATCTAAGAAACTCACGGAAACAGAACAGCGCTGGCCCGTATGGGAGAAGGAGGCTTATGGGATACGTTGGGCATTACTCACGTGGCGACAGTTCCTGGAAGGCAACAAAATCCCCTTCCAGGTATGGACTGATCACAAAAATTTAGAAGCCCTGAAAACTTCCAGGAAACTCAATCCCAAACAAGCCCGCTGGTCCCAGCATTTTCACCAATTCCAATTTAAGCTCAAACATTTACCAGGAAGAAAGAACTTCCTGGCAGATGCACTATCTCGCATGCCCCAATATAACAGCGCACGAACCACAGACTCTAGACCAATAATGGCAGAGTCACAACTGGCAGCGCCAGTAACCACAAGAACCCAAGCCAAATTAAAACCACAACTGGACAGCCAAACTGGAATTGAATTCAGAAAAAGTTTGGAAACAGATGATTGGTTCCAGAAAAACAAACATGTGTGCACAATGAGAGACGGATTGCCTTGGGTAGGGGAAAAGTTATATATACCAACAACTCAAAGACTAACTTTCATGCAACTTTGCCATGACACAAAATCAGCAGGGCATTTTGGATTTGTAAAAACTTTACACTTAATTAAACGGCAATTTTGGTGGCCATCAATAAAAAAGGACATAGAAAGTTATGTTGCCAGCTGCCCAACCTGTGCATCAGCAAAGAGGTTGCAAGGGAAATCGCCAGGGCTGTTACAACCAGTGGCAAGTCCCTCAGCCCCCTGGAGGGAAATAGCCATGGATTTTATAGTGGAATTGCCTGAAAGCAATGGGAATACTGTTATCTGGACAGTCACGGACCTATTTTCCAAACAGGTGCACTTTATCCCTTGCCAAAAAATTCCCACTGCAAAGGCCTTAGCAAAACTTTTTATCCAGCACATTTACAGATTGCACGGGGCACCCCAACGCATCATCTCTGATAGGGGAGTGCAATTTACGTCTACATTTTGGAAGGAATTTTTATCCCTCTTAGGGACCACTCAGGGACTGACATCTAGCCATCACCCTCAGACAGATGGACAAGCGGAACGCTGCCAGTCGGTACTTGAGCAATATTTGAGATGTTTTTTAAATTTCCAACAGAGTGATTGGACGGACTTACTTCCTTTTGCAGAAGTTGCCTACAATAATGCAGTCCACTCCAGCACAGGCTACACTCCTTTTCAAATAGCCAACGGCCAAAGTTTCAACCCTATGCCAGAGTTAACCCCAAAAGAACCAACGATCCCTTCACTGAAAGAATGGATGGAAAACCTACAAAACACCTGGCCAATAGTCAGAAAATCACTAGATGAAGCTAGGCGGGCATACAAAGCACAAGCCGATAAAAAAAGGGTTGAGCCTACACCATTCATTATAGGAGAAATGGTGTACTTATCTACAAAATACCTAAAGTCCCTACAGCCCTGTAAAAAACTTGGACCAAA